TCACTTTATGGCCTTTTCACTTATGGATCCTTCACTCACTTTATGGCCTTTTCACTTATGGATCCTTCACTCACTTTATGGCCTTTTCACTTATGGATCCTTCACTCACTTTATGGCCTTTTCACTTATGGATCCTTCACACACTTTATGGCCTTTTCACTTATTTGAACACAATTTAGAGAGTTCGACAGACCTCAAAAACACACCCAAATTTAGCTAGTATCCAATTATGCAGACTTTACATATAAAAAGGTGTCTGCTTACCTTATTCTTGTCAAACAGGTGCATACGGGCTGTCCAAGAGGTCTGCCAACTCTTTTCCGCGTCGGAATATTCAATTTAAAAAAACAAAAGTGACAGAAGCGACAAGAAGCATCCAGGAACAGCTCTTCCAGCCTGCTGGAATCTCCGCTCCCAGACACAGCATGCCGATCTCCCACGCAGAGGAAAAGAAACAGAGCAAAACTCCCCAAAACAATCCAGAGAATGGCACAAACCGAGCCGCGCATTCTCCACCAAATCTGTTAGGATTTAGGCAGACAGAGACGGATCGTGGTGTGCCAAACTCTGGAAGTTTATTTAAGTTGCTCTCAAGTTCCACTGGTTTACTCTGTTTCTTTTCCTCAGACAGAATAAAGGCAGTACACAGTTTATATAGTCATTGTCACGTCACACATCGAAAGACATACGTGTCACAAAGAGACAGTCACATCATAGTCATAACATGGAGTCCTTGTAGAGTCCTTGTACAGTCCTGTACGTAGGCCATATTGCTATCTAATACTAATACTGCATTTGTGTCGAGCCATGATTCTTCTGTGACGTGTTATTTCAATCACACGTTTCAGCTTCAGTGTCCAGATTCAGCGATTCAATTCAGTCCAAATTATGTCCAAATTGTGTAATCCAATTTTTCCAAATGGTGTCCATGCAAAAGAGGACAATGGTGTTGTCCATGTCTCAGCAGCTCACAGCAGGCCTGTATGGAATCAGGGGCTGTGCAGATAGTCCAAGTGTGCTGGTCCAGATGCATAGTTTCTCAGTTTTGGCTTAAAAAAAAACACTTTTTGTGTAAAAAAAAAAGTAGTCTTCTGTTCTCTAGATGTTACAGACAATGCCCGCATCCTCCACCACCTGAAGAAGATGACATGTCTGGGATCGCGTCTTTCATTCAGACAGAAGACATGTTTTATTGTCAATGGTAGAGACAGCACGATCACAGATACAACAGAATGCAAGTGTATTATACAGAGCAGAGGCATGGAGACCTCCAATCAGCAGCTGCCACGGTGCAATGTAGCTTGGCCTTCAGATAGACAAAACAAGGGAAAAGTACTGGCTTCTGCACATTGATAGAATGATAAGTTTAACTTCAACAAAAGTTGCTTAAAAGTGTTATGAAATCTCACACTGAAGTAGATCCTCCTATATACCTTCAACATTCACATTAAAGATTCAGAACCCTCTCCCCTGGTCCTCCTTCAGAATGACTTCTCTCAGCTCACACTTCAGGGTTCTCTTGGCAGGACTCACGGCTGCCTCGTCATCCGCTGACATGATGCCAGACCTCCACATCCCATAACTCATCACTCGTCTCCTGCCCTTTACAACCATCCTCTGCAGTCACTTTAACCTGACTTAGCACATGTATATTGTATGTACTTAAGCCTAGTTTATACTCGCGCGGCGCGGAGCTTACGGAGGTGACGTGACGTCACTGGCGCAACGCGATGGTCACCGCAAGGCCCTAATGGTACTTTCAGACCGGCAACGCTGAAACGCTGAAGCCCCGCTCACCAGATGCGCATTCTCTAGTTTTCAGACGCAGAGGACTTCACACAGAACGTCCTGACCATAGACTGTATATATTAACGGACAGAGTCACGCCTATCTCCGCCGTTATAACTAATGGGCCAAAAAATGTGCACTACTGGAGCTATCCAAAATGGCCGCGAGTGGTCCCGCCCACAAGAAACTTGTGAAAAAAACGCATCTGCGCATGCGTCAGCCGGTGTAACGCCGAGATACACTGCCTTGAAGAGATGCACTGCCTCAGCTGTTTATGATGTAATGCAAACCTGCGCATGCACATCCCACGGCAGCCGAAGCATACCAAGATGGCGGACCGTGAATTTATTTAAAAGTGAAAATACGAACGAATTAAGACACAAATGTCACTTTTAAGAGTCAAAGTTTTGTGCAAAGTTCAGTACAAGCAGTCAACTGCGCCTGTGAAACCTCAAAGCTAATGTTTTCATAGCAGTCCGCGGCTGCTGACGTAGGCTGATGACTGGTCTGTCGGGTTGATAATGGAAAATGGGGAAAAAAAATCGATCTAATTAAATATTTCGTTTGAACACACTATTGTTCTATTAAATGCACTATTAAATTAAATTTATTATTTCCATTATCAACCCATTAGCTTTGTGGTTTCACAGGCGCAGTTGACTGCTTAAACTAAACTTTGCACCCACATGTGACAAAACGGAACCATCAACATCTCGCCTCAAATTACATTAAAAGTGACATTTGTGTCTTAATTCGTTCGTATTCTAACTTTTAAAGAAATTCACGGTCCGCCATCTTGGTATGCTTCGGCGGCCGTGGGACGCGCATGCGCAGGTTTGCATTACATCATAAACAGCTGAGGCAGTGCGTCTTCTCAAGGCAGTGTATCTCGGCGTTACACCGGTGCAGCTCCATTCATTTGAACGAGAGACTTAAAAAATTCACAGCAAGTAAACTAGAGTGGACCAAAAAAATTCACCCCCCTCAGCATTGACACACATGTGGAACGGAGCTTTGGGCCAAGAGCCAACTTTTGGTCCATCCTGTAAAGACGTTTTCGAGAGGTCTGCCAATGCTATATGTTAGCATCGGCGATCGGCGAACACACTCGAAGCAGTTGCATAAGGTCACGGGAGCATGACAACGCATATTTTCACAAGCACACAGTCCCCCATTGTCAACCCTGGTTTGAGTTCTGGTGAAGCCTGGTGTGGGTCCTGTTTTGGCTGTTTACGAGTATTTTCAGTCTGCTCGCTCAGTCCACTAATGTCCCCGCGACCACTTTGCGGCTCTCTGATTGGTTGTCGCACGGACGTCCCAAGGAAAGGATGAGCAGAATCCATCTCCTGTGGGAGTTGATTTTTCGCTCCTGCTCCTCCCCTTTGACTTTTCCGCCAAGTCCGTGCGTGTCTACTGAACGTGCGTGCCGAGAGGTCCATGCGTTGCGACAGTCGAACGCGCGTCACCATAGACTTTGCATTGAAACCCGACGCAACGCATGATCCGGTCTGAACGCACCATTACGTTGCCTGCCACGCAGCACCGACATTTTCTAACTACGTAAGGGTCGCCGCAAGGAAGCTCCGCTGTGATTGGTCCGTGTGTGTGTATTGGACCACGGAGCGGCTGCAGGGAACATGGACGAGGCGCTATGGAGCAGACTGCTCCACGCTTCGAAGGAACCGAAGGAAAAGTAGTTTGGGCTCATGGCAGAGCCTGATATACGCAGAGACTGTGGACTGTTGAGTTCTGTTGCATATCTAACTTATATATAACTTATAAACTGTGCAGCCGTTTGTTTTGCACTTTGCCTGTCTTTGTCTGAATCTGCACTCGTAGCTTATCGCGTCTGTTCCATTCCTCCTGCACTTATAAATTGTTCATGTTTGCCTCAGATATTTACCACTTATTATTTTGCTGTTTGTGCTGAATACAATTTAATAATAACTATGTTTCCAACAAGAACTGTGTCTTTATTCAAAGTTATTCAAAGTTAAATGAGTTAAGAAATAATGAGTCCTTAGAACTATCACATAAACCTACAGTAGAAACACATGTAATGATCTCAAACAGCTCAGTTTGTTCATGTTTTTGTTCTGAAGAGGAGAAAGAAGCAGCGTAAATGAGACCACTTTGGTGTCTCAAGCAACTCCTGTGAGATCGCCATCATGTGGTTGGTTGTGGGGATTACAACATTTTCCTCAAAACTCTGCAAGGAGTATAAATTAAATTGTGCTTGCGTAGATCCACTGCAACCGCTAAAGTAAGCAGCATACACTAGGCTTTAGAGTGCACTTGTTTAAAGATTTTTTATGAACATTTGTTTTTACTTTTATAACGTGTTTGCACCATGAACTAAAGAAAATTCCAAGTGACTTCCTGTGACTTACCTGTGACTGGCAATAAAATAAATTTGACCCTGATTCTGATTCTAAATATTTCAAATAATTGAAATAATATAATATATATCAGTGGTCGGGGTAAAATTATGGAATCAACTCGACTAGGAAATAGAAAAGTCTGCAAACATCCAAATGTTTAAGAAAAAAATCAAAGCAACAACAGTGAAATTGTTTGAAATGAATGATTAGAAAAAAAGAGAGAAAATAACTATATAATAAAAAACATTCTTCAAACATACATACATGTTTGAAGAAAGGGCCAGGCAACAAAAGATGTTTTTTCTTCTTTCTGCTCCTTTTCATTTGTGCGAAAAGACGACAATTATTTGAAATGTAACTGTAATATGTGATGTATTGTTATGTCCACAATTGAAATAAATAAAATATGGTCACCTTTTGTTACTTGCCATGTCTAAATCTGACTGTTGTTGTAGTTGTGCCCATGTGTGCTTTTGTGTTGTTCTGTACTATTTTTAGTGTGATATGAAAAGCTTGATTGTATTGAGTTTGGGGTTGGGGTGCTCATAAGCTTTTTGCCTCAGTCCACTCCTTTTGAGAATAATTAATACTGTTCAAATCAACAAAACATCACAAAAAACAAAAACATATGTTTGTGTTGTCTGAATACTATACTGAATACTAACAACAATAAAAACACATGATAAAAATGTAGAAATATATATACACATAAACACCGAAAGAACTATTTATATGAATACGGCGATGATCCCTGTTCTACTGTGACCAGCTCCTCCATGTGTTGGGGCAATAGTTGGATTACAAGTCTGGTCCAAAGTCTGTGATGTTGACATGAGTTGCGGTCGTCTCCCGGAGGTGGGCGGGGCTTCCGTGCGTCGTGGGCGGGGCCTATCTGCGTTATGGGCGGACCTTCTAACGGGAGTGAGTTGTCTCTTGGAACAGTCCGCCTCCGCTTGTCCGCTCTCCGGCTGTCCTCCACCATCAGCACACCCAGCCCAGACACAAACACCACGATCATCCAGGTACGAATTCCACCAACATATATACAAACTGTGCATAGTTTCAAACAGCATTCACTCCATTAGCTCCTGTCATCAGCCAAAGATCAGACCCGGACAAGAAAGTAGCGTTACTTTGTAGTTTTGGACTTCAGCACACGGGGTCAATGCGATAATGTAGATAGATAATGCACTTCCCTTGGCTTTATATTATCTTAAATTACAATCATGCATGACGTAGTTGTTATTACATATGAATAGCAGTCGCGCAGGCATTGATATTGACGTACGTAGCCAAGAATAAAGGAGTACATCGCCTGAAATGAGCTGTTTATTATGGTTTGCAATGTTTTCATATGTGTGCTGTGTCTTTAAATCGACCCGTTGGCCGCGGTTTCCTGTTACATCTGTGGGATTTCTATAAACAATGACAAAGCAGGAGCACAAGAGGCAGCTGTCAGTTCCCCTCTGGGTGATTGGGGTAAATCTGCAACCTATTCTTATGTATGAAGACGAAGTAAAAGAGATCACCCAAAGAGAGCTCAAGTTTGATGCTCGCAGTCTTTAGCAATGCAATTACAATACCTCTTTGTCCCGTGAAGTACTGGGCAACTTCAGTGGGTCAGGGGTTGGGTTATGTTTAGAGCCAAATAGAAGAATCACGGAATACTGTATGAAAAGCAGTAAAACATTTAAATGATGATAATAATTGGTGATAATGCGTTTTTTGGACATTCAACGACGCTTCACATGTCATTATTCATGCACTCCATACACTACTACTAGCCACAGCTGCCTTTGGGCACACTGACAGAAGCGAGGCAAACATTATGTGCCATCAGCCCCTACAACCACCATCAACCATTCACGCACACACAAGACTCATTCTAGGCAATGTGGGTGAAGTGTCTTGCCTAAGGACACAACAACTGTTGGCACTTTACAGCTGCAGCCACCCCACTGTGGCACCAGGTGTTCCCAAAGGTCTCCCAACACAGTACTAACCAGGTCCTGCCCTGCTTAGCTTCAGAGGTCTGAACGAACGATCTGGTTTTGACATGCAAGTGGATGGATCACATGTCAGTCTACAATTAGGTTTATATTCTTGTATACTTCACTGACATTGTTTACAAAATAGATACAATAAGATCCATTTTCCAAATATCGAACGCCTGTCAGTCAATATAGTGTTCAAATATCTTCTTGTTATCATCTCATCTAAAACATCTAAATAGATAATTCAGGGAGAGAATGTTGATGGATCATTACCCTCCAAAAACACAGGACAACTTGACCGCATCAAGAAGACTATTCAAATTATACTGGAGAATATAAAGGCACGGTGAGGCAATTTTATCTGTATTTGTATAGCACAAGTCATAGACAAGGTGAATCAAAGTGCTTTACAAAACAACAAAAAATGCAACAATAAAACACATACAGTAATTACAGTAAATTAAAAAAGTGCATAGCTGTACTGGACTGCGTATAAACTGAATTTGAACATTTTCAGAGCAGAAGCCGATAGGGGTGTGACGCGATACTTTCTCCCGCAATTCAATTATCAAATTTTATTTTTTTTTTTACTTTTTTATTTTATTTAATTGGTATCAATACTTAATATATGGCTACATTACGTATCTCCATTATATTTATCATGAAATAAAGAGTATTTTTTCTTTTATTTATTCCATAAATTGGCATATTGTATATTTCTGACCAATATATCAATAATCGTCATATTGTGATAAAATCGTCATCGTAATATCGTTATCGTGATATTATCGTTATCGTGATATTATCGTTATCGTGATATTATCGTTATCGTGATATTATCGTTATCGTGAGCTTTGTATCGTGTATCGTATCGTATCGTGAGGTACAGTACCCTTAGGTTCCCACCCATAGAAGCCGATCTCACCTTTTCAGGAAGACAGATCAAAGTTTTTGCTGCATACACAAAGATATTTTGAGAATTGAGGCTTTGACCCAAGATGAAAATGAAATCAAATGCACTCCCAATACTAGCAAAGTTTGGCTTAAGAGTTATATATAAAAGGAAATCCTCACTGATGCTGATTCACAAACAAAAACACTCAATCTTTATTATGGGATTTCTAAACTGTGTCTGTGTTGTGTGTGCAGGATGTCCCGCGAGGAGCAGGCAGTGGCTCGAGCCAGAAAGGCGTTTGAAACGGGCCGGTCCAAATGCCTGGACTACCGCATTCTGCAGCTTGAAAGCCTCAAGCGCCTCTTTGTAGAGAAAGAAAAAGTGATTGCGGACGCCATGAAGAAAGACCTGAACAAGGTAACAGTTTACCAGGACTCTAAAGTGCACAAAGGTTTAGGTTTGGTTCTGACTGCTGCTAATTGCCCTCTGGGAATGAAAAGATACTTATTTCAAGGACAAAATAAGGCTATTGAGCAAAGCTTTGTGAGGAGTTTACATGCAAATTGCCACTTGCTGATCAAAATACTGTACTTAGAGAGTCATTCAGTGTGTCTTTAGCTAGCCTCTTGTCATTCAAAAAGCACTGGACTTGAATTGAATCATTTGTATCTATAGCTAGTATATTGTTGTTCATGCTAGTACAGCCTGCAACTTCTGGGATCCTCTAAAAACATGGGTTTGTTCACGTAACAAGGCAAACCCCCTCGTCAACGGGCGTTAGCTATAGCCCAAGAGATGACCTCTTTTTAAAATCAAATAGTTTTATAGCCCATTGCTCACATATGGGTCAGATGAAGAAGGCCACAACAAGTTTTTACCATCATTTGGATTTTATTTATCTTTTGCTCTAGTTTGATAATGAGATTCCCTAGGGTCCTGCATGCACTGTGGTCATGTGACTTAATAAGGCATATTTTGAGATTCTGAAGTTTGTTTTGACTTTGCTTTTTGATACATTCCTGGTTCAAACAACACGACAACCTTTCCCAATGTTGTCCCAGGTTGCAATAAAAGCCTTTATAGAGTCTGTTTTTACTTCCTGTGATCTTAATGGTTGCTTAATGCCATTTGAGATTTTGATTGTATTTTTTATGTAGATTTTAATGTTTATGATTTATGCCTGCTGCTGCCTTGTCTACTGATAAAAGTTGATTGATATTGTCACCATAACCCAGATTACAATACTGAGTAGTCTTTCCATCCTCTGCTACGTTCCGTCTCCGTCAGAGCGAAGTGGGCACCCAGTTGTTTGAGACGATGGGCCTGGAGGGGGAGATAAACATGGCTGTCAAAAACCTGAAGTCTTGGGCTGCGCCTCGTCCCGTGGAGAAGAACCTGTTGACGATTTCGGACACGGTTTACATCCGCCCTGAGCCCCTGGGTGTGGTCCTTGTCATTGGAGCCTGGAACTACCCCTGGGCCGTCACCATCCAGCCCCTCATCGGAGCCATCGCAGCCGGTAAGTAAGTAGTTTAATGCATTTGTACCATGATCAAAACACTTACACACATAACACATTATAAAACATGTGTATTTTGTTCTCTACACTCTCAAAAACATGTTTGAGGAAAGAGATTACTTGATTTTATTCTTCTATTTTCCTTAACACCTCAATAATGAAACTATGAGAACTGATTCCATCAAACCAATGGAATTCTGAGAAAAAAAGTTACATTTTTCATCCAAATAATAAAAAAATATTTATCAGGTTTTTTTATTTTTTATTTTTTATTTACCTTAACTCACTTATAGCAAGTGCTAGAATTTGAGAATATTACTTGAAAAACAGTGGCTAATGCTAAAGACCAAACGCTAACTGCTGACAGTAAACAGTGTGTTGCTATGGTTACCAGCACTTGCTTAAAGGTAGAACTACTCACATTAAAAAAATTAAAAGATACTTTAATAAAAAATAATGACAGAGATAAACTACACATAGAAACAAAAAAGTTACACAAAGTTATGAAGACCATAAAAGGTACTTACACTTTGAAAAACTTAGAGCCGTCAAATTGACTGCTCAGGGAGTTAATGTTAGTTTTCCAGAAAACAGCAAACATTAACAATTAACATGGACATAAAAACAACAAAAGTGCAATCCCAAACAGAACATACATAACGAGATAAAAAAAATAAAAAACTACAAAAACAAAAACTGAAAAGACTACTTTATTTGCAAAGCCAGAAAAAGTCCCTTAGCAACCGTTGTTATGTAACAGATGTTGGGGCTGAAACAGGATGCATTTGGGGTTTTTTCCCCTGCTCTTACCTACTCGTCCCACAGCAGGTTTTCACAACACTCTGCAGCCGCCTGGGACCATTAGCGATTCAGAAAAGGCGCATGGTGTAATATTTGTGCGTCGACCTGTGGTTTAAACTTTCAGTCGTCCTAAAACTGGTAATGATCCGTCACACGAAAAGAAACGTGATAAATATCATATGTGCCACCATTGAAACAAGTCAAACAGTGACAGAGTGCAGACTAAAGTCACTGTGACCAAAAGACGTTCAGGCAAAACTGAGAAACTAGTGGATTTAAAGTTGTTTTGAGAGCACATAGTTTTTAATACTTAATTACATATTTTGTGCATATCTTTAATTGTTCAACATGGTAGTCAATTTCGTAGGCGATGCTATAATATATCCTTTTGATCAATGTCTTTTACTTCTCCTACTTCCAAAAACGGCATTACATATTAATTCATCTTAAACCCAAGGCTGTAAAGTTGCCAGATTTAGTGAATTTGCCAGATATCAGCTCATTGGTTACTATAACAGAATAGACACAAATTAGTTGCGTGCTAGTTGATTCCGTATAGCAACAACAAAGCTAAGTTGCTAAAAAAGCTAACAGCTCAAATACTATATAAAAAGGTGTTGACAGAACAGAAACTTTAAAGACATATCCAAACTAAACGACAAACATGACGTAGAAGTAGTCGGTGAATTAGGAATCAAATGGGAAAAGTTAGCTCAACCAGCCTAAACAAAATAGACACAAGTGAGTTTACGTACATATAACAATACTAAAAATAATGTGAGAATTTTCAACATGGAACCACTGTCACCTTATTTAGTCACTTTTAGCCCAGAATCATAGTAGTATCTCGTGCTAACATGTACAGTACAATCTCCACTGCGAATATTTTAACATATTTGAACATATAGATGACTACAGTATATATTTATTTGCTCCAGAATATACAGGGACCATTTATGTTGTTTATACTAGTTTCTTCATTAAGCTAAATATATTGATTTTCTTTAAGTATAGAGTTGTGCTTAATAATCATGTATCTTGTATTGTGTGCTCCTCATTCCTACTGTTCTGTAGCTTATGATACAACACTGACATTTCACTGCTGTGGGACGAATACAGGACCTCTCAATAGCCATCCGTACACTCCGCTCAATCATCATTTCACTGCATGAAATGTAATTTGTACTAAGGTGTGGTACAACCAGGCTAGAGCTAAACAGCAAACATGACATAGTTGTTGTTGTCATGTAATCAAATAGGAGCAAAAGTTATCTCGCGCAGCCCCTCCCCACACAAGCACTCAACCTGTGTCTGTCTTTGCATTTCATTCATTGAGAACGATGTAAGAAAGCACGTCGAATACTCTTTAAAAAGGCAACATTCCGAATATTACACATATTTTTATAGCACCTGATTACCGTCCATGCAGTTTGTCTGACCTCCACCGTCACTGCTTCCTTATTCATTTCTGCATTACTCATTACTCAGCACATTTAGAGTAGAGCAAAGGCACTACAGGACGATTTGTGGCAATGCGGTTATGAGCTGTTCTATCATGTAGAAGATGTGTTCATGTGACATCACAACATTCCAAAGAGCCTATACTTTAACACTGTGGTGGAGGGCAGCTAAATTGTTTTTTGCTGGTAATTGTAAATTACAAAATTCTGATTTATAATGTTAGTTAGAGCTAATTTCTCTGTAATCCACACAAAAACAAAAAACACATATTTTGTCAGCACATATCAACCATGGTCTAATTTTGTTCTCATAAAGGTGTCTAGAAGTGGTGACAATATTCAAAAAAATATGCCTGATGTACTTTTAGACAGAATAAATAAGAAAGACGAATAATATGGCGGCTCTGTGAATCTAATCAATATCAAACTGATCTGGGAAAACATTTGGACATTTTCTTTTTAAACTTAAACTTTACTTTCTTTTTAAATGTGAATGCATTTCAGATTTATGCAGCTAAAATCTGAAACAGTCTTCCTGAAAATGTGAGACAGGCTTCTACTTTGACCGTGTTCAAATCCAGGATAAAACTGTTCTGTTTAGCTGTGCATACATTTGAAGGATTTTATCTTGTACTGTGATTATCTGTTTTGTATTGAGTTGTTGTTTCATGAACTCAAGAATCTACAAATAAAGATGTGTGAAGATTGATGAATAGAATAATTTAGCACAATAACAAAAAAGAAACTAAATCAGGCCTGTTTTGTTTTATCCAGACAGTGTTGTAATTACGTATTTATTGTAAATTACAGCTCTGTAATTTAGGTGAAAGTTGCAATAGTACTGTGTGTTTTCTGGGTGCGTAGTGTCTGCGCTTTGCTCTGAATGGACTTTATCCTCATTATCAAAGTCAGTAACTGTGGAGCTGGTCACAGGTCGTCACAGTTCAAACTCATAATCTCAACATTATGCAAAAACCATGATGCATTTGTAGATAAGTTCACAAGAGCTGCATCATATCATTTCAATTTGTGATTTCCGTGTCATTTTTCAGGAAATGCGGCTGTGATCAAGCCGTCTGAAGTGTGCGTCCACACCGCCAAAGTCATGGAGGATCTTCTGCCCGCGTACATTGACAAAGTGAGAAAAACACCTTTGTTAAATCATTCGCTTTTTAGTAGTTTGTTGTACATACTGTTTTATATAGGTCTAACAATATGAAGCCAACCATTCAGAGAAAGTTTGCAATTGTTTTAGACTGGCCTTAGCCATCCGTAAACTCCGGTCAATTATCATTTCCTACATGTACGTCTGGGTCTGCTCCTAGTTTTCTCGGTTGTATCTCTCCGACCAATCAACAAGCGGGGGAGGCAGATGTTGTAGGTAGGTGTCGTGATGTCAAGAGTTTGCGCCAAATTTGCTGGTTGTAGTTTGGCGGAGAATGCAATAGTAAAGAAGAAATCCAATCTGGTTCCGCTCCAAATATCAAGAAATTGAAACCGGAGCAAGAGGAATGTTTAGCAGATATAATTGCTCCAAAGATTTTGTGGCTAAACTCCTCACGGGCTCCGTTAGTGGCAAAGGAGATGGCTAAAGCTAGGCTAAAGGCTAAAGATAGGCTAAATGCTAAATGCCTCACTCACTCTGGCCCATTACATACGTCAAGGAAAACTAAACCTGATTAGATATCAGGCTCAGATAGATATGGATGGGATGGATTGATACGTAAGAGAAATTCAGGTGTCCAGCAGCAGAAACACATCCATATGAACACATAAGTACATCAATAATAAACATTTCTATCTATCTATCTATAGTGCACATTTCTAACTCAGATCTGTTGTACAGTCTTAAAGCCGAAGGAATAAAGAATCTCCTAAAACAGCAAAGTATTGCACCAAATCTTTATAGTTGTAAGCTGAACACATTATTGCACATGTCTGAGCCACTGATCAAATACTGTCTACATATGTCAGTCTAAATACTCTGGTACTTCTCTTGTCTTTGCGTCTCTCGATCAGGAGCTGTATCCGGTGGTGACTGGAGGAGTGGCGGAGACGCAGGAGTTGCTACGGCAGCGTTTCGATCACATTTTCTACACCGGGAACAGCGTGGTGGGCAAGATCATCATGGAGGCCGCGGCGAAGCACCTCACGCCGGTCACGCTGGAGCTGGGAGGAAAGAGCCCCTGCTTCATCGACAAGAGCTGTGACATCACCATCGCCTGCAGGTATTTGAAATGAAGTGTGTGTAATTAATTGTGAATAAGGAGACACACAAGTACAAGACAGTAGGCGGGAACCAGATAGAAAGATTCAAAATGTACTTTACATTGATGAGTAAAGATCATTGCTTAAGTCCAGTGCAGATTTTTATATTCAGAGATTACTTTGTCATTGTCACGTGGGATGATGAAAGCAAGGACCCAAAAAATTAACCAAATTCCAAGGAAAAAACACAGAAGGAACCAAACAGGGATCAAGGAGAAGAACTAAAACAAACGTGGAACGACAATGACCGAACAGGACACAGGTGATACACATGAGGGCGGGGCAGGTAAACAAACAGGAAGTACAACTAAAGAAGACACAGGAGTTAGGTTAACACATTTCAAAATAAAAAGGGAAAATGACCTAAATCATGACAGCCATAGATGTGAACCCTTTATATTTACTTTGCAGTAAGTAATCTTTATTTATATACCGCCTTTCACAGACCAGAGTCACAAAGCGGTTTACAATTGTGGGCATTTGTCCTCTCACTCCACACAGAGATGGGAGCGGGGTTGCCAGTACAGGGTTACCGGGGAGAAAACCTATGCAAACATGGGGAGAACATGCAAACTCCACTCAGAAAGGCCCTGTTCCGACTGGAATTCGAATCAAGGACCTTCTTGCTGAGAAGAGGGAGTGCTATCCACTTAGCGACCTTATCAACTTTGGTGATTCTGGCCTTCACAAAATGGACAAACGAAAGACATATTTGATATAATATAGAAAAAGGTCACGGCGACTTAAGTCATGTGTCTGTTGTGTGGTTGTTGCTTGCTCCGTCTCCATTCTGTCTAAAACAAATTAAACAACTGAAAATTGAAGTAAAAGCCCTAAGATTGTGTCAAAGTATCTGTCATTTTACGATAAATTCTCAGAGCACATTTAGCCACACAAGATAGTGGACTAGCAGCTATGGGTACGAGACCAGTTCTACCAGGACCAGGTAGCAGATTCCCTGCTGCAGATGGATGTACACACTTAGTTTTGTTAATCTTCAGATTGACTTCTTGGTCTCACTTCATGTTGATGTTTTTTATGAACAGACGAGTGGCGTGGGGCAAATACACAAACTGTGGACAGACCTGCATCGCTCCAGACTACATCCTGTGCGAGCCGAGCCTCCAGGACCAAGTAATCGCAGAGATCACCAAGGCCGTGAAGGTGAGCCTCAAATACACACTGGTATTGTTGTGCTTTGGAAACCCGAAGTCGCCTAAACCAGGACTAAACTAGCCAGGCCTCAGCCATTCCTAAACTCCGGTCAATTATCATTTCTCTACATATACGTCTGGGTCTGATCCTAGTGGCTGCAGTTTCTTCGGTCGAATCTGCTCTAACCATTCAACGAGCGGGGGAGGCGGGTGTTGTATGTCAGTGTCGGTGACGTCAAAGGTTTGCGCCAAATTTGCTGGTTGTAGTTTGGCAATGGCGCCGAATGCGATAGTAAAGTAATCCATTCTGGTTCCAAATATCAAGAAATTGAAGCCGGAGCAATATGAATGTTTAGCAAATGTCATTGTTGTAGCTCTACTCCCCACGGGCGTAGATTCACTCAGATTCAATAGTTTCAATCTGCAAAAGGAGTTAACCCCTCCCACCTGTTCAATGGAGCAATATCCAGACCTTAGTTTTCATTTTTGGAAGATTGACAGTTAGACTAAACCTAATATGTTTTTTTCCCCCTCCCATTATCAGGAGTTTTACACGGAAAACCCACAGACCTGCCCTGACTATGGACGCATCATCAACCAGCGACACTTCAAGAGGATCATGGCTCTCATAGACGACAGTACGGTGGCCCTGGGGGGACAAAACGAGGAGGCAGACTGCTTTATCGGTAACTTTACGACTTTGTGGATCAGTGGTTCCAAACCCCTTTCTCCTGTAAATTTTTTTTTTTTATGTTTGATTTGAAAAAACTCAGTGAGAATGAAAAACTATCTCCCCCGTGCCCAGACAAGCTTTTAGAAATGTGGAAGATTACTTGATTTGTACTGTTTACTTGGTACATGCATTCTTCATCTTTAGGTCAGGGGTGTCCAAACATTTTAGTATGAGGGCCACTTTAGTTCACCAGATTAGTCCTGGGGCCGATGTCACAGACTGAAAAACTGTCTTGACTGGCACGGGCTGTTCTGAGCTTTAAAATGATCTAAAACGGAGCTGAAGTTGGCTGAATGACAAATGTTTACCGTCTCACCAGCTCACAAGTCAACGACTGAATTCCAGACGTACTGGGGTATAGAACGAGTTACGACATGTCTGTAGTGGCTGAGCTGAAGTTGGATGGATGACACAGTGAACTTGTGTCTACTTTGGGTTGGCAAGGCAGAGGGCCACATAAAATGACACTGAGGGCCGCAATTGACCCCCGGGCCTGAGTTTGGACATGCCTAGTTTAGGTTAATGCTCCTTACTACTGTAACTAAACAACCTTAAACCTATATTTGAGGTCTCAAAATGTGGGTGGATTCTTCTGTCTCTAAGCTTAACTTTATTCAATAATTGGGCTATCCCTGTTTCGCTTCTGTTCAATCTTTTATCATAATTGGACCTGTTTTTAGCTAACATTTGTCGTGTCTGTAGCCCCCACGGTGCTGCGGGACGTGAAGCCTGAAGCCAAAGTGATGCAGGAGGAGATCTTCGGCCCCGTTCTCCCCATCGTCCCCGTCAGCGGTTTGGACGACGCCATCAAATTCATCAACAAAGGAGAAAAACCTCTGGCTCTTTACGTGTTCACGCCTGACGACAAGGTTCTGTGTTGCCATAGCGGCCGATGGATCCAGGAACACCACATGTATGTACTGATTATTCCGTGCTGTGTGTAGGTGGTGCAGAAGATGATCGCAGAGACGTCAAGTGGCGCGATTCTGGCCAACGACTGTCTGGTCCATTACTCCATCAGCACTCTGCCGTTCGGAGGAGTCGGTGAGAGACTTTTGAAAGGGGTTAAATCAAGTGGTTTTTGCCTTATTTTGAGTAAATTCGGACTGCCTTAAAACAAAATTTTCCAATGGGACAAAGTAATTTAGTCATATTTCAAGAACTGTTGCATTTTTTTTCTCATTCCAAGAGAGACATTTCTTGTATCTTTTAAAAAATAAGATAATTTTGCTTTGTCCCATTAGCAAATATTGTTTTAAGGCAGTAAGAATGTGCTCAAATTGAGACACATTTGGCCCAATTAGAGCAATTGTCCTATCATCACGCATACATATCGGGGCAATATTTAGGAGACTATGAATGATAACTCAAATAACACCTCTTCCACGAATGATGAGACAAAAAAATCTCAGAAATCTCTAAAATATGAACCAAATAATGAAATCTCTGCCTTAAACTTTCAAGCCAAACTGTAATTCTAGTTTGTTATGGTTTTAAAATCAACCTTAGCTTAAAAGATTTCCCCAAATTTTAGGAGAGATCCACCCTCTCCACTTCTTGAACAAAACTCTCTGGCTCAGTGTGGGCAGAAAATGCCCACACTGAGCAGGTTTCTGTCGTGTCCGTGTCTGCAGGTAACAGTGGCATGGGCTGCTATCACGGCAAATTCTCGTTCGATCAGCTGAGCCACCTGCGCAGCTGCCTCATCAAGAAGCTGAACATGGAGGGAGTGAACGCCATGCGCTACCCGCCGCACACGCCCACCAAGCTGAGCCGCGCACGCTTCTTCATCCTCAAAGCTGCAAACCTGGGCTGGATCGGACGCATGATGATGATCGCCACTCTGGTCGTGGTGGCGGCGGTGGTGGTTCAGGTGAGAAAAGAGATAGATAGATGCAACACATTTCTATGCATGTTAAGTATTATGTTTTCAAGTTGACATGTTTAGTAATATTCTCAAGACCTTATTTTATATATATATTTCTGAAACGTAAAAAACTAAAGTGATAATACCTTTTATTTTTATTGGGATTTTTGGGCTAATAACAACTGTGCTGTGGATAATAGTTGCCACGTACTTTACCTGTTGTCAGCTTTCCTTGTGCCTTTACACTTAAAGAGCGACTAAACACCTGTGCCCAGCCTTACTCCGCCCACATGAAGATTTGAAAATTTTCTCTAAAAAAGGCGTTGCCTGGAGGACCAAGGGACAAGAAGGGGGGCTTAGAGTTGGGCGTGGTCTGGGCTGTGATTGACAGCTCACTTGCCAAAAAAATGACCAGGATATGTAGACAGCACTACAATAAACATACTTATGCAGTTTATGAATTAAAAAAAGTTGATTTGGTGTTTAGTCGCTCTTTAAATCAATTGAATTAAGATTAAGATTAAGAGAGATCCTTCATTCTTCCCACTGTGGGGAAATTTCAGTGTTGCATCACAAGTTATAGAACAGTAGGAAAGAGGAGCACACGGCACAAGATAAGTGAACAATAGCTATTCTAATTAAAATGAAACAAAATCTCTAACTCCAGCATCAAATAACATAATTATATAATTAAATTAATGTGGATTTTACTTCTGGAACCATAGCGGATAACAAATGTGAGATTGACAACACTAGTTTGAACAGAATTTAAATATGCAATTGTCTTTTTTATCCCACTCAACTCAAAAACTGTATTGTCCCTGAGGGGTAAATTGTTTGCATGTGGTGGAGCAATAAAATAAATACTATGACAATACAACAAAATACAAATCAAAAGTTACAATTGTTGATCATTTTGATTGGATAAACCATGGAGCCCGAGCATTCTCTTCATAACAGCAATACGAACAATATTTATCAATGAGTGTCGTTTTTGACAGATTCAGCACAGTCTGTATTCATTCTTCTCTTTGTGTCTTTGTCCAGAATTACCTGCTCTGAAACCAATAAACTGTAAAAGAGCGGACCACATCTGATCAACTCAAGAGATTCACTCTTTAACGCTAACATCTGTAGGTGATCGACTGTAATTTTAATGTTTTTTTAGAAAGGTAATTATTTATGCTTTTATATAGTATTTGTAATCATCTTTTTGTATCACATAGTACTTTTAATTAGTCTTAATTTTATTTCCCGATCCATGAAGGAGCCACAGCCTAAGTGCAATTACAACATTCCCAGTTGTGTCTAAACATTTCAAAGGTAACTCAGAGGTCCTTTTATTTCAGCCTACAGCACTTTGTCTCTGGTGATACGTGACTTTTTGGTCTCGTTTGAATTAAGACTGAAGGATTTCTCTTGTTCGCACAGTAGCAGCGGACACAGAAACGCTGCTTTTAAAGACCGTTTATAATGTCTCGATAATGAACGATGTCACGCGTGAATTTATATATAATACGATAACATATAAATATAACAATATAATAACAAATAAATATATTTGTTCATGCGGCAAATGTTTATGTGTCGTTTTTTCCATAGTAAGAAGAATCCCAATGGTTTGTAAATGACTTAAAGATCATATTGACTATCTAGACCTATTGACTGATTATTTAAGTTTATTTGTATAGCACAAGACAACCCAAAGTGCTGAACAAAACAAGACAGAAAAAATACAAGGCCTTAGAATGATAAATAATCACAGTATTTTAGAAAGAGTGAAGATACAAGCTCCGTTGTGTACGCAGATGAAACGTTTTTAACCTGGATTTATATTGAGGGTTGTTTTTTTTAAGTTTTTAATGAATTTAGATATGGTAATTAAAGGGTAATACATTTTATTTAGTCAAAATCAAGTTTGTAAAAGTTTTAGTGTTGACCAAAACAGTGATAGTTTTGGGATAGAAATGGTGTAATCTTTGCCTCTTTAGGATCCATTTTGAGTGTGTGTGTTTCAATGGGACGCGACTGTTTGTGTAGATTCCAGAACATATGGACATGTTCGTACATGGTGTTGCAGAAGTTAGAGCTCTCGGCCATAAAGAGTGAGTGTGGAGGTCAGAGTGTGTAGTGCCTCGCTTCTAACAGTCTGCCCCAGGGCATTTGTGGCAAAGATAGTAGATAACCACTATTGCGTGTGGAGTGAGAGAATTACACATCTAATTCATGAACTGTTTTGTGACTTTTGTCCTTGAAAAGCATATATTCAATTCATTAAAAATATATAATCAGTTTGGACTGGAAAAACACAATTCTATTTCCAGGGCATTAGAATCATCACAATGACAGTATAGCACTTTTCAGCCGCAGTCACCCCACTGTAGCACCTGGGCTATACCAAAGGTCTCCCATCACAGTTCAAACCAGGCCCTTCCGTGCTTAGTAGCTTCTGTTCAGTAGAATCAGGCCTTCATTGATTGAAACCAACTTCCCACAACTAGATTCAGTCAGTGTAAGCAACAGTGACAAACAAGGGATTTTCTTTGGCATACGGTGCAAACAAGTAATTAAAAAGTAAATGAAAAATATATATAAATAATAAATATAAAGTCATGCATGATAATAACAATACAATTCTTATATATGAATACACAAAAGAGACATTTAACAGAACAGATTTTCAATAAGTGACCAGAGGTTTGAGTTTATAAAGTGACAGAAGTGCAAAGTGACGATTGTAATGGGCCGGAATCAAGTACATTATGTGTTCATTAGCCCTTCCACTCCAGCTTTGTCTCACGTCCCCCACTTTGAGAACCACTGGGTTAAAGACACGTCACCATCTGCTCTAAAAGTGCCGCTGATCATTCGCACTCCTCATTAAACTTTTTTTGCTCAAACGTCTATTGTTCTAATGTTCAGCTGCAGTTCAGGTTGTGGCCACAGGGGGCGCGTTGTGAAGACAAGAGCAGGGCCCCTCAGTGTGAGGCTCAAAAGTGAAGAGGCAGAGCAGAGTTTAACCTGAGATCATCATGAGATTGTCCATTTATTTCCTGAGCCTGTTCTTCCTGCAGTCCACGGCCACAGGTGAGGGTTTGAACTCCTTATTGTACTCGACCAGGAGAAAAACACTGACATAACTTAATGTTAATTAATCATGTTTCATCAGTTTATTATGCTAAAGTTAGAGATGTTATGTTTTAGTTTAGAGTTATTGTTCATTTATCTTGTGTTGCGTGCGCCTCATTCCTATTGTCCTGTAACCGGTGACAGTGAAATGTCCCTACTGTGGAAGAAATAAAGGATCTCTTAATCTTAATATGCAATTGTCTTCTCATTTCAATAAACATGCATCTGGTTCTCAAATCAAGACCAAAACAAACCAGTTTCATCTTAATTATCTTTTGTAGTAACGGATGTTGTACAGAGACTGTCCCCATGATATGTTTCTGTTATTTATGTTCTCACTTAAATACATTAAAATAAATAAATGTGTTTTGTCCAAACAGAAAGAGTCTCGCTTCAGTAAAGTTTGTGAACAAATCAGAAGAATATTATCTAATTAGAAAACACCTTTTTTTCCTTTTTCTGTCTAAGAAAAATGTTTTTGTGACAAACCCATAAATAGAGCTGAATGTTGACAGGGAGTTCCCAGCAGGAGGCCAGTCCCTGTGCTCCTCAGAGCCCCAGCAGGAGGCCAGTCCCTGTGCTCCTAAGAGTCCCAGCAGGAGGCCAGTCCCTGTGCTCCTAAGAGTCCCAGCAGGAGGCCAGTCCCTGTGCTCCTAAGAGTCCCAGCAGGAGGCCAGTCCCTGTGCTCCTAAGAGTCCCAGCAGGAGGCCAGTCCCTGTGCTCCTCAGAGTCCCAGCAGGAGACTGTGTGTCATAATAATCTAGCCCTCATGAAGATCTCTCCCTCAATTCCTGCAAGTTAATGATAATATATGAAAATAAAATTATAATAGTTTCCTACAATAGTGAACTAAAAACAATCTAAAATCTGAGGGAAAATAGACAAAGTACTTCTTTAATTTGTCATTTTAGATCGTCAGTGCAAAACCCAAACGTTGGCACTTTGAGAAAGATAAAGGTTTGATTCAGCTGTGAGAGAAAAGCCGCTGCATTGTTCCTGTGGTGAGAAAGGAGTGGATTTACAGATGGACACCTGTGTTTCCCTCTGACTCCTGATAAAAGACCTCTCCAAACCGTCCAAAATACTCTGATAATGATAGAGATCTCTCAAAAGGGCCTTGTTCAGATCAGACAACAGCAGTGACAAAAAACTTTCAGATCCACAGTCTTAGCGTTCCCATTTTGCATTTCCTCTTTTTTATCTCTCTCTATGTTTTTTCTCTTTTCTTAGAATACCATTGATTGGCTGCATGATTCTGACCTACTAGTTGCTGGCATTAAAATTATTTCTTGGTCTTATTTCTTATATAAACTGGACTCTTAATTTCTCCCTATGACAATCCTCTGGAGCGGCCCCTGACTTGCAGGACTTTAGTGACTGACTAACTGCACTGGCTTCAGCTGGTGGATATTTCAGAGCAGCCGTAGTAGAAGTAGTGAAAGGTTTACAGGCTGAACATGGAAAAAGTTGATTTGAGTTTGACTTTGAGACAGCTTTTGTAACTGTTTGTTTGTGCTCAGCCCTGTGGTGCTACGACGGCCAGTACTCCTGTGAGGAAGCCTGCAGAGGTGAGACCAGGAACCAAACATATACCATGTGATTCATATACCATGTGTATGCGTTGCTGATTGCCTGAGAGCAGATCGATATTGTCTTGTATTTTCATGGGACAATTAAAGACATCCATCTGAAGTATCTTTAAAGCACAAAATCACAACAATGGTCACACCATTATATCACAAGCCCTGTTTTGAAGTGCATATGATTACAGGTTACAGTGTGAGTCAATATTCTACAGCTAACTTAATGTAATTGAACATTTAGTTTAAAATAATAACTTTAAACAAACAAAAATGATCACCTTTTTTAGGATATTTTTTAGACTTGTAATTTCACTTTCAGGTTAGATTGTGACATTACACTAATAATAAAGCTTTGGCATTGTTAATACACTGCAAGACACTTCACATGGCATTAATAATTCACAACGTAGTCTATGGAGATAAACCACTACTGTAGCCACTGCTGCCCTGGGGCACACTGACAGAAGCAAGGGAATCAGTCTGTGTTTTCGGCCTCTCCAACCACCACCATCATCATTCACACACACCAGACTCATTTTAGGCAATGTGGGCGAAGTGTCTTGCCTAAGGACACAACAACAGTTTGGCACTTTACAGCTGCCCCACTGTGGCCCCTGATGTTCCCAGAGGTCTCCCATCACAGAACTAACCAGGCCCTGCCCAACTTTCATATGCAGCTGGCGCCATACCAGGGAAATTATCTACCATGTGGCATTGGCCCAAAACTGTTCCCCATGCATATTGTTGGTGTAAAATACAGAGTGTATTAAAATTAGATGACCATTAACAATAATCATTTACAGTGCCTTGCGAAAGTATTCGCCCCCTTTGAACCTTTCAACATTTCGCCACATTTCAGGCTTAATACACATAAAGATATAAAAATTAATTTTTTTGTCAAGAATCAACAACAAGTGGGACACAATCGTGAAGTGGAACAAAATTTATTGGATAATTTAAACTTTTTTAACAAATAAAAAACTGAAAAGTGGGGCGTGCAATATTATTCGGCCCCCTTGCGCTAATACTTTGTAGCGCCACCTTTTGCTGCAATTACAGCTGCAAGTCGCTTGGGGTATGTCTCTATCAGTTTTGCACATCGAGACACTGTATTACTTGCCCCTTCTTCCTTGCAAAACAGCTCGGGCTCAGTGAGGTTCATAAATAATCAAGCGTTTGTGAACAGCAGTCTTCAGCTCTTTCCACAGATTCTCGATTGGATTCAGGTCTGGACTTTGACTTGGCCATTCTAACACCTGGATACGTCTATTTGTGAACCATTCCATTGTAGATTTGGCTTTATGTTTTGGATCATTGTCCTGTTGGAAGATAAATCTCCGTCCCAGTCTCAGGTCTTTTGCAGACTCCAACAGGTTTTCTTCCAGAATGGTCCTGTATTTGGCTCCATCCATCTTCCCATCAATTTTAGCCATCTTCCCTGTCCCTGCTGAAGAAAAGCAGGCCCAAAGCATGATGCTGCCACCACCATGTTTGACAGTGGGGATGGTGTGTTCAGGGTGATGAGCTGTGTTGCTTTTACGCCAAACATATCGTTTTGCATTGTGGCCAAAAAGTTCGATTTTGGTTTCATCTGACCAGAGCACCTTCTTCCACATGTTTGGTGTGTCTCCCAGGTGGCTTGTGGCAAACTTTAAACAAGACTTTTTATGGATATCTTTGAGGAATGGCTTTCTTCTTGCCACTCTTCCATAAAGGCCTGATTTGTGCAGTGCACGACTGATTGTTGTCCTATGGACAGACTCTCCCACCTCAGCTGTAGTTATCTGCAGTTCATCCAGAGTGATCATGGGCCTCTTGGCTGCATCTCTGATTGTGTCCCACTTGTTGATTCATGACAAAAAATTAAAATTTTTGAAGCCTGAAATGTGGCTAAATGTTGAAAGGTTCAAGGGGGGCGAATACTTTCGCAAGGCACTGTATATGTGTTTATTTACTAACCAAATGTGGATGTCAGACCCGGGGCAATGGGCTGCCCAGTTCCCCAGCTGTGAAGGTCTGCGTCAGTCTCCCATCAACATCGTCACCAGTAAAGCACACAGGAACTCTGCTCTGCCGCCGTTCAACTTCATCGGACACAATCAAGACATCAACATCAGCCTGAAGAACACTGGACACTCTGGTAAACATCTGAGGAGCATATACTGCAGAATACAGTCCACTCTGGCCTCGTCAACTCACGCCCCAGGGGCCAAATCGGGTCCTACAAACAATCCTTTCAGGCTCATGGCTCATGTTACAAATGCAAATATATTATCTCATGATGATTGATTGATAAATAAAACCCATGTCAATTTTCAACAAGTCATGAGACAGTATTGAGAATCATGTGTTAATTTCTTGAAAAGTGGCGTTGCGTTACGTAGCCGCACAATCCACATATATACAATACAATACCAGCTGTAAAGAAAAGCAGATATGTGGGAATTAATTATTCTGAATAAATCACCAGCGTTAGATATTCAGGAAAAAAAACATAATGAAATGTTATCCGTGTGCGTGCATGCATGTGCGTGTTTGCGTTTGTGTGTTTGTGTGTAGCTCATTTCAGCCTGCCTCACTCTGTGCGCTTGTCCGGAGGCGCTTTGCCGGGAAAATACAGAGCGGAAAACTTTCACTTCCACTGGGGCCGAGAGGGGATCCCAGGGGCCGAACACACCATCGACGGAGAGCGGCTGCCCATGGAGGTACCAGTAGAAACGCCATAGACAGTATGTAGTACTACCATAGGCTGTATATAGTGCCACCATAGACTGTTTATAGTACCACCATAGACTGTTTATAGTACCACCATAGGCTGTATATAGTGCCACCATAGACTGTTTATAGTACCACCATAGACTGTTTATAGTACCACCATAGACTGTTTATAGTACCACCATAGACTGTTTATAGTACCACCATAGACTGTTTATAGTACCACCATAGACTGTTTATAGTACCACCATAGACTGTAGTACTACCATAGGCTGTATGTAGTGCCACCATAGGCTGTATGTAGTGCCACCATAGGCTGTATATAGGACCACCATAGACCGTAGTACTTAAGACTGGGGCAGTGTTTTTCAACCAGTGGGCCGTGGCCTTGTGATGTTTTTTAGTGAGTCTATGAAAATCACCTCTTTGTTGAGAATGACTGTGTTTTGTTAATGAAAGGTATAGAACTGGGTCTTTAAAATATCAATGGGGGAAGAAAAGCAGTGCAAAATAATATCAAATAAATTAAACATTTGATAATTAATTAATGTAATTGATGAATTAATTAATGCATTTTTATTTCATCACCAAACAGATGTTAAAAAATAAAAAATTTTTATAAATCTCAGATTGTGTAGATAAATATTCATAATTATTTGCCTGGACATTTATTTTGACAGTTTTATTGTCAAAAACATGTCTCTCATAAAATGATGTGAAACTATTATTGTACATTTGTGGAGTTTGTTTTAAAAATGACTGGTCTTGCAGATGCACATAGTCCATGTGAAGGAGCCGTACGGGTCTCTGGCTGAAGCCGAGCACGACATAGCTGGGATCGCTCTGCTCTCTTTTCTCTTTGAGGTAAATGACACCGCTGTGACTAGTGTAAAATGTTCATAAATGTTGAAAAAAAGAGTGTAATTTCTGTTCACAGGAGTCGGCTGATGACCATCCACATCTGGACACAGTGATCGAGGCTTTGGGTCGTGTTAAAAACAACGGTACAAACAACATATGACAGAAAAACCTCGCGATATAAAGTATATTAAAAAGAATACCAACATTTCATATTTTTACAAGTTACTCAGTAAATGCATTAAGTAAGTAAGAAGTGAACGGCCTATAATAGATCTATTAGCTTTAATACTAGTAAATCTTTGTGAACAATTCAGACCCTCTTTATCTTATTAGATAATACACGTTTTTACATACTGAGAGTTGATTGGCTGAGTGAGGGTGGTCTACCTGTGGGGATCGGGACCACAGAGTAAAAACTGGGGTGTTAATATTGCAGAGTCTAGTTGTTTTAATGTTTTAACCTAGATAGAGTACTTTGATATACGTAAGACTATTCTGTGATAAATACCTGCCGATCTCTACTGAAGTTTAGCACAATATTGAGTAGAAATAACTCTTTGACACTGACCAAAGAGAATTATTTACACTGACTTTGAGTGGAACCAAATATGATCTGAAACAGAATTAAACTAAACTCTATAGGAGTCACATTAACACTTTATTCTGTCGTTTATGGGGTCATTTCATGTTTAATATCCACAAGTTTTTCCTTGTGTGCAGGAAGCTCGACGCAGGTCATAAACTTCAAGCTGAGCAACATCGTCCCGTCAGCCTCAGACCTGCACAGTTACTATAGATACATGGGCTCCATGACGACGCCGGGCTGCGAACAAGCCGTGGCCTGGACCGTGTTCAAGAGGACTCTGCCCATCAGCAGCCGACAGGTGAGAGAGAGCTAAGAGTGGACTGAAATATGCGACAATGTGCTGAAAGAAATTCATAGTTAACTTGATTTGAGTTTATGTTGACTATTTTACAAATGGGGCAAGCAAAAAAAAGCTGCTTCACTCTCTACTTACTCCAAAACTACAGCGCCCAGAATTTGTTTGTCCTTATTGTGTTCCGAAACAGCATTAAAATTAGTATTCTTGTCTAACCTGGAAGAACAACACACTTTGACAAAGACAAATTGTTACAAAACTTATTTTTAGTGGCTGTGAGAAGCCAATGATGGGGACTTTGGGATGGAGTTTCTGTCTTTCTAATTTCAACAAAATGAATCTCTCCTCAATATGGGTGTGTGAACGTTTAAGCACGACCATATGTTGAAATGTAAAAGGAGCCTGGATTTTGTTTTAATATACATGTACTTGTACTTCTCTGCAGCTGAGCGCCATAGTCTCCAAGTGCCTCTTCTGGAGCGGACAGCCCATGATGGACATCTACAGACCCGTCCAACCACTAGATGGCAGAGTCGTCTACAAATCCAACTCAGGCTCTCTGCTGCCAAGTCTGCCTCTGCTGTACACTTTACATATTCTACTCCATATTTAGACAGCTAGAAATGACTTCTAATACTTCTGATGTATCTACTACTACGAATACTACTACTACTACTACTACTACTAGCACTACAAGCTTATTCTACTACAACTACTATTACTACTACCACTACTGCACCAAGCGTATTCTACTACAACTACTACTCCAAGCGTATTCTACTACCACTACTGCACCAAGCGTATTCTACTACTACTACTGCACCAAGCGTATTCTACTACTACCATAAGCTTATTCTACTACAACTACCACTACTACTACTGCTCCAAGCATATTTTACTACTACCACTACAAGCTTATTCTACTACAACTACTATTACTACTGCTCCAACCTTATTCTACAACTACTACCACTACTACACCAAGCTTATTCTACTACTACTACAGCTCCAAGCTTATGCTACCACTACCACTACTACTTACAATTATAAATACAATATCCATATGTCTAGCACTTTAAAAAAATGATTCGACTCAGTTTTTGTGTTTCTGTAACATGTTCTCTGTTTAATGGCAGTAACATTAAACTACTATAATCATATTGACCCTTTTGTTCAGTAAACCTGATTCCGTTTCATATAACAAACATCGGTCACTGTGCCTGTGTCTTGATCCACAGCCGCAGATGATCTATTTGTGCCATGACGCTGGACTTTGCCGTTCCACCGGGGGCGCTGTACTGCTCCACGCTGCTGCTGTAGTCCCACACTGCGGCCACGTCCTCTCCGAAGTGCGGGCTGCGGGAAAACAACAACTTTTATCAACAATAGTACTCAAAACAGTTACAGAGCAGTTGGCAACATGCGTACGCAGTAATTTAGTAATGTTAAAGTTTACCAGTGACCACAATGTATTATGTAAGACCAAACTCTTAATTGAGGGAGAAAAATCTTAATAGAAATAATTATCATCATTATTCATCCAATGGGTAGAAAATTTTAGTGTTTCAGGGTAAATACAGAACAGTACTGCATTCTGCACGTGAAAGCAAAGTCCTGTCAGACCTCAAAAGCTAAGCAGGGCAGGGCCTGTGATGGGAGACCTCTGGGGAACACCACACACCATACTTCTAATATGAATCTGGTGTGTGCATGAGTGATTGCTTCTGTCAGAATGCCCCAAGGCAGCTGTGGCCACTGTGTATGGAGTGAAAGAAGGCCATGTGAGGCATCTTTGAGTGTACGAAAAAGCGCTATAAAAACCAATAAGTCGTTATAAAAGAGCAGTAAAAACAAGTATGCATTAAGAAAAAACGTTTGCCTTTTTGGATTCAGCTTAAATATCTTCAATAATCTTTAGCTGAAGGTTAGCTATAAAGCTATAAAAAGGAAATTGGCAGTACTCTCCCGCATTAAGGCTAACACTATGGATGACATCAGTACTGTCAGTCCCCTCCTAATATACGGCCTGTGACATCACCTCAAGGCCACGATTGGAAATGATTTTTACAGTTGAAAATAAAGATGTTCACCTGACAGAGCTCAGGTCGTCCACAGTGAGATGGTTCAAGGCAATGTTTTTGGATTCTGCAGCAAAAACAGCTTTTCCGGAAATGCCGTGGGCCTCTCTGAACGGGACCTGAACCAAAGAGACACAACTGTTACTCACTCCAGCCAGAAAAGAGTAACGTCTTTAGAGAGTTTGCAGTTTAGCACATGTTATTACTCACTTAACATCGACAGATTTATGTTAATTTAATAAAACCCAAAACAAAACCTTCAGGATTCACAACAGAAATTAAGGTAGCATCGATTAAAACAAGTTGAAATGTAAATAATATATGAATAATGCTAAACATGTTTCTTAGCTTCATTTAACAACGCGCTGTATTAAAGCTGGGGTGCGTCATTTTCAAACCACAAACGAACTATGTGATATAAATCCATTTCACTTGTTCTTAAAACAGTTTCGTGATAGAACCAGTTTGCATATGCATGTATTTTTTGGCCTCCATCACATCTTTAGATCAACTTTTTCAGACAGAAAAGTGAAAGAGAGAACCACCCTCACTCAGCCAATCAGCTCCCAGCACAAAGCCTCAAATAGTGACTGACAAGATTCTTACTAACTCTTTCTGTCAGGACAAAAAACATGGATTGCTTGCGAAAAGAAAAGTTAGGTAGTCCAGCTTTAAGTCGGAACAAGATGCATTATTATTATCATTATTATCAAAATGTATATTATTATATGGCCACTTGAATGCTATGATAGAAGGCCTCACCCCTTTCTTCACGAGGTAATAGGCCAAATCTGTGGCTAACATGTCTGGACTCAAGGCCGCCTCCATCACTGAAGGGTTGATCTGGAAACACAAACAGAGAATATGAGTTCTCTTTAAACGTTAGGATATATCTGTGTGAGATCCATTCCAACAGGAGAAAAGCAGATACTCAAATTCTCCTCTAGCTGTATCTGTAAGACTCCGAGTTTTTTTTTGGATTATCTAAAGAAGTTTTAATGATAGGCCTTTACCAAATGGTTGGGATGCAGTTTAAGGGTAAAAGTGACTCTCCGGGTCTCTCTCTCTCTGGTCTCTCTCTCTCTCTCTGGTCTCTCTCTCTCTCTCTGGTCTCTCTCTCTGGTCTCTCTCTCTCTGGTCTCTCTCTCTCTCTCTGGTCTCCCTCTCTCTCTGGTCTCCCTCTCTCTCTGGTCTCCCTCTCTCTCTGATCTCCCTCTCTCTCTGATCTCCCTCTCTCTCTGATCTCCCTCTCTCTCTGATCTCCCTCTCTCTCTGATCTCCCTCTCTCTCTGATCTCCCTCTCTCTCTGATCTCCCTCTCTCCGGTCTCCCTCTCTCCGGTCTCCCTCTCTCCGGTCTCCCTCTCTCCGGTCTCCCTCTCTCTCTGGTCTCCCTCTCTCTCTGGTCTCCCTCTCTCTCTGGTCTCCCTCTCTCTCTGGTCTCCCTCTCTCTCTGGTCTCCCTCTCTCTCTGGTCTCCCTCTCTCTCTGGTCTCCCTCTCTCCGGTGTCTCCCTCTCTCCGGTGTCTCCCTCTCTCCGGGGTCTCCCTCTCTCCGGGGTCTCCCTCTCTCCGGGGTCTCCCTCTCTCCGGTCTCCCTCTCTCCGGTCTCCCTCTCTCCGGTCTCCCTCTCTCCGGTCTCCCTCTCTCCGGTCTCCCTCTCTCCGGTCTCCCTCTCTCCGGTCTCCCTCTCTCCGGTCTCCCTCTCTCCGGTCTCCCTCTCTCTCTGGTCTCCCTCTCTCTCTGGTCTCCCTCTCTCTCTGGTCTCCCTCTCTCTCTGGTCTCCCTCTCTCTCTGGTCTCCGTCTCTCTCTGGTCTCCCTCTCTCTCTGGTCTCCCTCTCTCTCTGGTCTCCCTCTCTCTCTGGTCTCCGTCTCTCTCTGGTCTCCCTCTCTCTCTGGTCTCCCTCTCTCTCTGGTCTCCCTCTCTCTGGTCTCCCTCTCTCTGGTCTCCCTCTCTCTGGTCTCCCTCTCTCTGGTCTCCCTCTCTCTGGTCTCCCTCTCTCTGGTCTCCCTCTCTCTGGTCTCCCTCTCTCTGGTCTCCCTCTCTCTGGTCTCCCTCTCTCTGGTCTCCCTCTCTCTGGTCTCCCTCTCTCTGGTCTCTCTGATTTCCACTAATAACACAAATAATTGTTTCAACCCATCGATGCCACAATGAGGTAGATTTCAGTTGCAAGCTTCAAATAGATAAAGTGACTCAAAAAGTGATCCAGCAAAGGTTTGAAAAAACTATTAGAGGGTCAAAAAGCTCACGCTATCCCGGATTGTAGGTGAACCTGAATACCTTGAGTGTAGAAATGACTCCGGTTGTTACTTGCAGCACAGCATGAGCCGTGTCAAAGCAGTCGAACATGGCCTGCTTATCCTCCTGGGGACGGTAACATTGTGGTTAAACGTTTATTTATAATCATAATCAAGATAAGCAATGTGAACTGAGACAGTAAAAGGGAGCGCCACCTGTAGGTCTTTGTTGTAACAGCTCGGTAATCCTTTCATTGTCATCATGAAGCCGGCGCACTGGGAAAACAAGTCAATTCAAAGTCCATACACTTTACTAATACTGACAATTTTTAAGTGCTTTGTGAACCAGGACTCCCAGGAAGTTGTGTTAGCTTGTAACGCCAAAACTGCAAAAGCAAACTACGGCAGCACAAATATCACTTTTAATTATCATTTTTGTGGACTCTACACTCATTTTGTTGGATTTATAGACTGACCGTCACCGGAACAAGCTTAATTCCCAGGTTTGAACGCAGGGATGGGTGAAATGGTTAAACTGTGGGTAGCGTGGGGAAGATAAGAAAACTAGTATTTGTCCAACAGTTTTGGTGTAGTATTGTTGGCAAAACTTTGTAAAGTCCTGCGAGAAAACCTCTGAATTGATTTGAGCGAGAACCACAGTAAAAATCTCCTCAGTTTAGATGAGTTTTAGATTACAGTCTATTTTTGCAACTTAAAAAGGAAAACCCATTTAATTATTTTATTTTGGTTTAAAGTTTTGGAACGTTATGTGGTAACACAAAGAAAATTGCATTCTTATATGCTTTCATTAGGCCAGTAAACAAGATCTTAGCCAAATTATGTTATATCTGTCTGAAAAATGTTACTTACTTGACCAAAAACACGTCCGGCTTTGCTTCGGATCAGCTCCAGACTATCCGCGTTCTTCTTCTGCGGCATCAGACTGCTGCCTGTACTACACACAATCCACACACACACACACACACACACGGCATGTTACAAGTCAGATCTATGAAAACCGGCCCACTCCCAGTAAGAAGCCTGTGTTGTCTGAGCTGAAGTTGGCTGAATGATAGTGGAAGTTTAGTTTGGAAATGCCGAGTTTAAACTGCCATAAAATTGCTTCACAAACTGTCACGTGATTGATTTTAAACTACGATACATAATTACTAGTACAAACTGACCTGTAGGCGTCTGAGAGGTTGATAAAGGAGTATTCTTTGGTGCTGTACAACAACAGGTCTTCTGCCACTTTACTGAGATGGTTCAAACACAGCGACCCCCAGAACAAAAACTCCACTGGGAAATAGATAAAAATAAAAGTACATTATAAAAACATAGATCATGTACTTATCATACTGCTCTTACTCACAGACAAAGTCCCGTTGGCTTGTGGCGTCCATGCTGTTGAGACTTATTCTGTCAAACCCCAATTCTGAAGACAAAGATTTTATATTTACTATATTTACCTTGTTCTTCTTACTTAATTATTTTATATATTTACTGTGTGTTAGAAAAAGAAATGCGCCAATCCAGCTTTTTCAAATCCGATACTTTGACAGATACCAGTGCATTTTCTCTCTCTTCAAATCTCAACCAACTTATTACAAATAGGTCCAATTTTGTTTTAAACTATAGTTCCTTTAAGTCAGTATTATAGACACCCCTAAGGGTATGTGAGGGTATTACAGCGGGTAAGGTTAATATGGGCTACTACTACATGCGATACCTAATTTTAATGACAACCCAAGAAATCAACTGTATGATTCAGAATAAAATAATAATAATAATGATAATTGGTCTATCAGCCTGCAACCAAGCCTGTACTAATATTATTCTTCCAAAAACTCAATTTAAATAAAAGTAATTAATAACTACAGTACTCCGCAAAAAAAAAAACCCTAAAATATAACAATGGAGTAGTTAAAAGTTAAACCAAATCTCAAAATAATGGCCTACTCAACATATCGACTGATCCACTGTCCTCAAACAGTATTGTATTGGTGCATGCCTGATTTATAAAATACAGAACGGAAAGGATTTGGGCTTTGTGGTCTGACCTTGACGCAGCAGATCCCTGTCGATGTCAAATGGAGTTCCGGCGAGCGCACCACTGGGAATGACAACAGGATGTTATTAAACTAATAGAATACAATAGAACAGTACAGAAGTAGTAGTAGTAGTGAGCAAGTAGTAGTAATAATAAAAATATACATTGTGGGTTAAAGCTGTCGTGTACCCACATTTTTTTCATAAATAATACATGTTGTTTGTCCCAACAGAAAGCCGCAAAAAACAGACCACCCCATGCTGTCTTCATTTCATGAGAAAAAGTTTGATCTTTTAAAGTGATTGTCTGGAGTTTGTCAGAAAAGAGAGAGAGGTACATGATTTGAAAAAAAATACGACCCAAGCTCCCTCCCCCTTTCTTTCTGATTGGTCTACGCCTACGTTTCCGTAACACTTTTAAATGTTAATCAGAGAACACATTATACATATACATTATTAATACACATGCACGGAGGTTTTCAGAATGATTTGTTAACGTTTTCATGACAAAAATAATGTTTTAATGCACAAAAAAGCGATCGCGGTAAACCCGGAAGTAGCAATTACCATTAAATGAACATTATAGGACACATCTGCAGAGGATCTGATTATGGATATAGGTTCAGTATATAAATGATTATGGATATACAGTGCCTTGCGAAAGTAATCGCAAGCAACCTTTCAACATTTTGCCACATTTCAGGCTTCAAACATAAAGATATAAAATTTTAATTTTTTTTCATGAATCAACAAGTGGGACACAATAGTGAAGTGGAACGAAATGTATTGGATAATTTAAACTTTTTTAACAAATAAAAAACTGAAAAGTGGGGTGTGCAATATTATTCGGCCCCTTTACTTTCAGTGCAGCAAACTCACTCCAGAAGTTCAGTGAGGATCTTTGAATGATCCAATGTTGTCCTAAATGATGATGATGATAAATAGAATGCACCTGTGTGTAATCAAGTCTCCGTATAAATGCACCTGCTCTTTGATAGTCTCAGGGTTCTGTTTAAAGCGCAGAGAGAACCATGAAGACAAAGGAACACACCAGGCAAGTCCAAGATACTGTTGTGGAGAAGTTTAAAGCCAGATTTGGATACAAAAAGATTTACCAAGCTTTAAACATCTCAAGGAGCACTGTGCAAGCAATTTTATTGAAATGGAAGGAGTATCAGACCACTGCAAATCTACCAAGACCTGGCCGTCCCTCCAAACTTTCATCTCAAACAAGGAGAAGACTGATCAGAGATGCAGCCAAGAGGCCCATGATCACTCTGGATGAACTGCAGATAACTACAGCTGAGGTGGGAGAGTCTGTCCATAGGACGACAATCAGTCGTGCACTGCACAAATCTGGCCTTTATGGAAGAGTGGCAAGAAGAAAGCCATTTCTCAAAGATATCCATAAAAAGTCTTGTTTAAAGTTTGCCACAAGCCACCTGGGAGACACACCAAACATGTGGAAGAAGGTGCTCTGGTCAGATGAAACCAAAATCAAACTTTTTGGCCACAATGCAAAACGATATGTTTGGCGTAAAAGCAACACAGTTCATCACCCTGAACACACCATCACCACCTCAGCTGTAGTTATCTGCAGTTCATCCAGAGTGATCATGGGCCTCTTGGCTGCATCTCTGATCAGTCTTCTCCTTGTTTGAGATGAAAGTTTGGAGGGACGACCGGGTCTTGGTAGATTTGCAGTGGTCTGATACTCCTTCCATTTCAATAGAATTGCTTGCACAGTGCTCCTTGAGATGTTTAAAGCTTGGGAAATCTTTTTGTATCCAAATCCGGCTTTAAACTTCTCCACAACTGTGCTTTAAACAGAACCCTGAGACTATCAAAGAGCAGGTGCATTTACGGATTCCATTGTAGATTTGGCTTTATGTTTTGGATCATTGTCCTGTTGGAAGATAAATCTCCGTCCCAGTCTCAGGTCTTTTGCAGACTCCAACAGGTTTTCTTCCAGAATGGTCCTGTATTTGGCTCCATCCATCTTCCCATCAATCTCAGCCATCTTCCCTGTCCCTGCTGAAGAAAAGCAGGCCCAAAGCATGATGCTGCCACCACCATGTTTGACAGTGGGGATGGTGTGTTCAGGGTGATGAGCTGTGTTGCTTTTACGCCAAACATATTGTTTTGCATTGTGGCCAAAAAGTTCAATTTTGCCTTCATCTGACCAGAGCACCTTCTTCCACATGTTTGGTGTGTCTCCCAGGTGGCTTGTGGCAAACTTTAAACAAGACTTTTTATGGATATCTTTGAGAAATGGCTTTCTTCTTGCCACTCTTCCATAAAGGCCAGATTTGTGCAGTGCACGACTGATTGTTGTCATATGGACAGACTCTCCCACCTCAGCTGTAGTTATCTGCAGTTCATCCAGAGTGATCATGGGCCTCTTGGCTGCATCTCTGATCAGTCTTCTCCTTGTTTGAGATGAAAGTTTGGAGGGACGGCCGGGTCTTGGTAGATTTGCAGTGGTCTGATACTCCTTCCATTTCAATATAATTGCTTGCACAGTGCTCCTTGAGATGTTTAAAGCTTGGGAAATCTTCTTGTATCCAAATCCAGCTTTAAACTTCTCCACAACAGTATCTCGGACCTGCCTGGTGTGTTCCTTTGTCTTCATGGTTCTCTCTGCGCTTTAAACAGAACCCTGAGACTATCAAAGAGCAGGTGCATTTATACGGAGACTTGATTACACACAGGTGCATTCTATTTATCATCATCAGTCATTTAGGACAACATTGGATCATTCAAAGATCCTCACTGAACTTCTGGACTGAGTTTGCTGCACTGAAAGTAAAGGGGACGAATAATATTGCACGCCCCACTTTTCAGTTTTTTATTTGTTAAAAAAGTTTAAATTATCCAATACATTTCGTTCCACTTCACGATTGTGTCCCACTTGTTGTTGATTCTTGACAAAACATTTTTTTTTAATATCTTTATGTTTGAAGCCTGAAATGTGGCGAAATGTTGAAAGGTTCAAGGGGGCCGAATACTTTCGCAAGGCACTGTAGCTAAGAGAAGGGAAGGCATGTTAATTCTAACATTACTTACCCGTAATATTAGAATTAATAAAATTACTGATTTGATATCAACATTTAAGGCCAGACCATCACTTTAATGCTGAGCAACCTGTCGATAATGATGCTCTAGGTAAAAATATGGGATGGAGGATTTTTCCCACTGCGCCTGTTCGAGCGACGGAGGTCCGATACATTCAAGTTGTAATTTATTTTTATATTGTTTTATGAGAGAAAGAAAACAGTACAATGGAAGTGGAGAAATGTATATGCTGTTAATGATAATGAGCAAAGGGGATGAAGATTGTTGTAAAAGTGTCCTTATTTATCACGTACCTTCCTAAAGGCAAAACATTGACTCTTCTGTGGATCTCCTGAAGCCGCTCCACGTCTCTGCTCAGAGCGACTGCATGACTGTAACAAAACATACAAATAAATAATCCTAAAAAAATAAACAAAAACACAGACATATATAACACACAAATACCTCAAAATCCAATGGCTCCATCTGATTGGCTGAGCTCTCTGCATGTGCGTGTAACCAGGAAACAGGACATCGACTTCTCTATGAATGATATGAGAACAATGTGTAAAACTTCATTTCAACTAAATAGCGATACATACGTTTTATAATTAATAATGATAACAACACTATTACATTGTATTTCTTAGGCGCCTTTTACATACAAGTGAAGAAGTGCATTTTGAAAACAGTTAAAGTACAGTTGCAGGTGCAGTATGCGATTTTGTTAGCTTAGCCGTAGCATCAACTGGAATCCACTCCCCCCCTCCCTCCATCAAACCAAACATCCAGCATTTTCTTTTCTTTGTCACAACAGGGAGAGTGCGTGGCAAACGAGAAGTTGGCATTTTCTGTTCAGTCATTTTAAGGTTTTAGAAAATCCGATCACTCAGGTGCACTAGCGAGAAACAGGAAGAGGGTAAAGGGGGTAAACGAATCCCATTGGTTTATTTTTATCGGCCCGCTTATAGTTTATGGAGACTATAGGCATCTGGTCAATTCCATTACTATTTGAAAACACATGATAACTTGACTACTTTTAGGGTTTAGGGACATTTTCCCACAATAATAAAAAAAAATGCGTCTGGAAAAAAAATCACTGACTAACCCTGACCCAAGTTAAAAGCATCATGGACAGAGGAGAGTGTGGTTATGATGTTAGTGAGTCGGCGAGTCTAAACAAATGAGTTTTTAGGGTGGATTTGTGGATTTTAAGATTCTATTTCTATTGTTTTTCCTCACATCGCTGCCCGTTCCACCATCGTAGTGACCAGTTGTAACGCAGCTTCTCTCAGAGTGGAGATGGCGTCACGAAGCCACAGTCTCATGTCAGTAACAACCTGAAGAACGCAGAGAGGAAAAAGGAAAAAATACAAGATTAAAAAGGAATATGGGAGGATTTTCTTCCGGGTGGATCATCTAAACTATTGGTCCTTCTAAATGTCAATCATTCAGGAGATAAGCGAGACAGTTTTAATAGGCGTTCCTTCTGAATTTGGGAAAATCCTCCTATATAACTTTAATATGCACCTCTGAGTCACCTGGTTTTCTTTCAGGGCTGCATCATTGTGTGTTCAGCGTGTATTTTGCAATTAAATCAATAAGCACGTGTAATTTTTGCAGGAAAATGTCTTTAAGTACAAACTAAAAAAACAAAAAAGATATTTTAGATAAAACAAGAACGGCTTTCTTTAAAAAGACAGGATCATTTGTTGTTTGGACTGAAATATGTATTTATGCCGTTTTGTCAAGACTTAATAGTATTGTAACAGTTTAATTACATTTGACCGAGTACAAAATGTTGCGAAGCCTGGCACCCTCGGTTACAAATATGCAACATAAAGTTCAAAGGTTATGGCAAAAGAAGTAGGACTTTTTGGTTTCATGCATTAACTAAAGTATGTACCCATGATATGCTACATTGCCTAATCTGGCCTTTGAATGCTGCTTTCCAAACAGATATTATAATATTTTTATGTCAGAAAAATAATTTAATTAAAAAAATAATAATAATTTTTTCTCAAAATTCCCAATTTTTGGATTTTTATTTTTTTATTTGTCCATGCCATGTTACATCATGTATATTAACTTTACATTTGTGCCACATAAATGAGAAAAAAATATTCTGCAGTTAACCTGGTTTTGTCTTTTGCCAAATCATATTTAAGGCAGCAACAATACATTCAAATACAAACTATTTCAATTATTTTGAGGTGTGCAAATAAATGCAAATCAAAATGGGGTTTTATGTTCAGAAATATTTAGAAACAATTACCCAGTCCTTTCACTATAATGATGATATTGTAGCGATGATGAAATGCAGGACACAGGCTGAACTTTAAGCTGGTTTATTTCACATCTGCCTGGTTCTGAGGCCAGGACCAGCAGAGAAACCAAGGGAACAGGTATACGTGGTGGTGACCCTAGTGGGCATCATCGGAACTACATGTTGTGTGTGAGCAACTTACAATGTAACCCGTGACCTGCTCGAACATTATAATGAAACAAACCTGGTCATTTCTGCTTCTCCCAGTGTGCAACTTTCCTGCAGGAGCACCAATCAGCTCCTAGAGAGGAACAGAGGCGAGGACACTTTAATATACACCTCACATGGTCATAGTAAATGTCCTTTTCCAGCCCATTTCTCACACATTTTTTGAAACATTCATTTGTTTTTATTATAAAGCGTACTTAATAATGTATAACTTGTTCTAAATAATCAAAATAAGAAAAGAGAAAGACAAGATACAGTAAATTAACTAATGATACTTTAACATGAATTCAATAGAGGTTGTGGTATGTTGTAATAAGACACTATTGAATGTATCATAACAACACATGAATACATTGTAGAATTGTATCTTCATCTTCAATGTAACTTGTGTTGTAAGATAGACTGAATACTATGTGTCTTCCTGAACCAGACGAAATTGGATATTTCTGGACTCATACAGTTTGAAATTCCTAGTGATTGTGACACAGGTGAAAGTGGAGTATATGTGTGATGCAGTAATGTGAATGTGAAGACATGCTAGTAAGTAATAAGTAAGCAATCTTTATCTGTATAGTCCCATTCACAGACCAAGGTCACCCAAAGTGCTTAACAACTGTTGAGAGTTCAGATAGTGTCCACTCACTCCACACACACATGTGACAACAGAACTGTATGTTACGGTTGGCATAGATAAATAATCATATTCTAAGACAAATAGGCAAAATTATTCTTATTATTTTCATATTATTCTTATTATTATTATAATAGTATTCTGCAGCCTTGTTAGAAAGAACTCCGGTGTGCACTTAGCACTTTAATTATCTTGCACTTGAACTGTCTTGGATGATCAATTTCACAGAGACAAATGTTTCCTGCATTTTTAAAATATTTTTCCTGTACTTTTAAACTTATTTCATTCATGCACTTGTAATAATTTTCATTATTATATTACCTTCAGTCGCCTCTCGTTGGCAGTGTGAATATCTTCATCTTCAGGTTTTATCACAAACACATCTTTCTTCCACTCCTCGTGAATCTGCAAACACAAAAGACATAATATAGGTACTTTAATAGACTTGAAGGATTAAAGAAAAATGTATGATGAAATATTTTGAATCCTGACTTTTTATTCATTCATAGAAGAGTCCTGTTTCTGGCATAAACACTACACTACCATATATTAGTTATGTGTCCACACTGGTGCAGGGAGGTTACACTAACCTGAAAACAGTGACACATTATGAACAAAGGGCTCAGGGCTCAGTGTGGAAATGACAGAGCAGGTTTCAGCACGTGCCGATGTTTTTGTGTTGGCCTCAGAAAGCACAGAACGTTCCTGGACTCTCTACTATCATTTATTCACAAAAACACATCTGCTTAGCTGCATAGCCCAGTCTCTGTTCAATCACCATCAGGCTGTGAGACAGAGGGGCGGTTGGTAAAATGTTGACAACTTAATGGTGTTTTTTGAGTGGGTATTTTGCTCCTGTACTTGCAAAATAAATGGCATTAGATTCAAGGCAGTTTTTTTATTTGCTGACAAGATTCTGACATGAGCTGTAATCAAACTCATGTAGCAAGAAGTTGAAGGAGGATATAATTGTTGCCAAAGGTTTAGAAGAAACAACATGATGCAAAGGAGTAGCAGCTCTACTCCCAGCTCCTCCTGTGTGACTGAGCTCTACATCTAATCTCTAAGGCAGCGCCCAGACACAAATGCGGATGAAACTCATTTGGGCCTCTGGTATCTTGTCCTTTCAGACATTACACAACTCAAGTCCATTTGTTTACATTAAGCGCATACATCTCAACAGAGAAAGTTTTGTTTAGATCAGGGGTGTTCAACTCGGTCCTGTGTGGCTGGAAGAAAAACCTGCAGCAGCTCGGCCCTTTGAGGACGGAGTTGAACACCCCTGGTTTAGATCCTCAGCTTCTTTAAATCAGCCGTCTGTGGCATTAAGGCAAATAAACAATAAATACATTTAAAGGATAATGTTTTGAGGAGAATGTGCAATGTTAAATTATGTTATGATATGTTTATTGTTTTTGATCGTTGTTAATACTTGTACTTGTACTATACGACTACTTGTGAAAGCTACTGGGGATCCAAATAAATGTATAAATAAATAGTAGACCAGTCAAGATTTATCAATTAACTTGTTACAACCCTAATTGTTACACAGACCCGGATACCATCCTTAAACCTCACCTGATCCATCCCAGTTAAAATGCTGTTCATCTCGTCTGTGGAGACAAGTTTGGCCTTCTCCAGAGCCTTCACATAGGCTTTGCTGCCTCGGATGTCTGCGTCCCACATCCTCTGGTCGTACGAGATCGAAGCATTGAATTTCTCCATTATAGGATCGATGTCACCTACAAACCGGCCGCCCCAAAGTTTATTACCCTATGACAGAAAACAAAGTGTAAGTCTAAAGCCTGGTTCACACGAGACGATTTTAAAATTGTCGGCCGATTTTTCTCCGTGTTAGACCCCACACGGGGAGATTAAAAATCCTGCGTCTAACCACTTTGGTCGTGCAGTGTGTGGTGCGTAGCCACACGGCAAGACACACACCCCACCCCCCCCGAGCATTCCCAGGTCAGACGGAAATCTCACAAAATCTCTCGAGATCAAGTGTGACTTCAGAGTAAACAGTCATGGCGGACGAAGAGGATGCAGTGGCGATAGTGTGCAGTTTGTTGTTAACAGAGAAGACACGTAATCCAAAGAAAAGGCAATGGTCAAAGCCATGCTGCTGTGTTTTGGTTTTTTTCCGGTGTTTCCTCACCGGCTTGTCACCTCGTCTTCTGATTGGCTACACGCCGTAGTCATGGCAACGCGCTCGCTTGTCCTCGGAGGACACCACACACGACAAGAAATCGGGCCAAAACAATCCAACATGTTGGATATCCCCGATTTGAGATCGGGAGCAGTCCCGATGTCCTTCCGAGCGACGAGTGCAGTCTTAACACACCACACACGGCAGGATAATCTGTAAGATTTTGTTACGGAAATCGGAGCGTTTCTTAATATTGTCGTAAGGGGTAAATCGGGTCTAAATCGGCCTAAATATCCTGCCGTGTGAACCAGGCTTAACTGGAACAGCACATTGTAATTATTATAAATTCTGTTTACCAAACTAAGGAGAGGTATGAAGACTTGCAGATATTATTATTATTATTATTATTATGTATAGGGCTATTCATGTAATTGAGTGATGGAAACTTTTTATTGAAAAAGTTGTATATAAAAAGATATATAAGATAAGAAGTTATAAGATTTTACAGTCAATGGATAAGATGCAGAAAGAACATGCGCCTAAAATATAGAAGCTAAATGTGTTCCATATGAATTCAGACAATTCGAAATATAAACAATAATTAAAGCCGCAAGCGGCGTCGAACGGCCCTCGCCGCACCGCACCACGCCACATCGTGCCGCACCACGCCTCCCTGCACCAAGCCGCGCACAATGCCGCCTCACACAATGCCGCCCTGCACCACGCCGCACCAAGCCGCACCAAGCCGCGCCACACCAAGCAGCGCTGCACCACGCTTATTGGAGGTGGCGCCGAACCGCCATTATTTGGTCCCGTAGCCATAAAAGAATGTTTGTGAAATTGTTATGAATATAATGAGTTGAATTGGTTTGGCTTCCAATGTAAAACTTTGCTTCAGTCTGTAGGGGGCGCTAATGGGTCAATTTCAAATATTTAACTTTTACATGACATAGACCCTAGAGTTAAACAATGTGTTAAAGTTTTGTCCAAATCAGACTTTGTTTGTGCAAATGGAAGCTATTTTTCGGTCGTAAAAAATGGCAAAAAAAGGTCACATTTTGCCGCTCCGCTGCTCAAACAACGTTTCACTGATCAAAAATCCCTGATGTCATTTTGATGGTACATGTGTTTAGACAATGTGGAGTGATATGGAGGCCAATCGGTGAAACGGCCGAGGAGGAGTCGCTTTCCAACCGACATGTATGAAAATGATTGCGGATCATTTTTCCATTTTGCAGTGAAATTTATGGGCTTCCTGTTTGTCAGAGGGCGGAGCCATAATAATATTTTTTTCTTGTCTTGACTTGAGGAACATGTGTACCGAATTTCATGGCTCTACGACAAACTTGACCTCTGAAACTCCCATTGGCTGTTGTAGGTGGCGCTGTTCTTGCATTTTTTGAGTCCCATAAAAATAAACACCCAAATATCAAATTTTTCACCAGGTCTGATGTTTGGGCAAAATTTTACAACTTTTCATGCATGTTCAGGGGGTGAAATTAAGGCTCAAAGTGCAGAATTTGACATCTCTCGAGCAAAAACAATAGGCCCTTTCCCCGTTCGGGGCTCGGGCCTAATTAAAGCTGCACTAACTGACTTTGGGATTTTGAAGCCGTGGACCCGCTGGCCTCGCTCTTTCTGCTCCCCTCCCCGCACCCACGAAGCTATCGCCCCCCACACACACTCACTGTTGGGACGGAGCTAGCGTCTCCCAATATGGATAATACATGAATATGGATTTGCACGTGGATGGCGTGACCATAAAACGATAGAACCGGGAAGCGCGGGGGAATGGGACTTTCTTTTGGATGGCTGTTTCGCTGTGTAAGCAGTAACCGGTGATGAAGACACGAAGCTTCAGGTTAGCTCCTCGGCTTGTTGTGCTAACTCAGCGTCTATGCTAACGGACCTGTAGATTTCTCACGAAAGTGGGGGCCAGTGGTCCGTTGTGATTGGTCACAATCTGCGACCCGAAACACATTCTCTTCTTTGTTTCATCAAAACTCGATCTAAAATATAATGTCACGCCAGCACAAATCTGCGCTAATTATTCTTCAAAAGGACGTATATCCCAATGCACTACATGGACATGGATAGCATTTTCGTAATGAACACGAAAATAAAGTCAGTTAGTGCAGCTTTAAAGCCGCAAGCGGCGTCGAACAGCCCTCGCCGCACCGCGTGCACCACCCCGCACCGCGTGCACCGCCCAGCACCAAGCCGCTCCGCACCAAGCCGCCCCACATCAAGCCGCCCCGCACCAAGCCGCCCCGCACCAAGCCTTCCCGCATTAAGCCACCACGCCGCCCCGCACCACGCCGCCCCGCACCACGCCGCCCCGCACCACGCCGCCCCGCACCACCCCGCCCCGCACCACCCCGCCCCATGGTGCCCCGCACCAAGCCGCAACGCGCCGCAGCACACCGTACCACGCAGCACCGCGCAAAGGAGGTGGCGCCGCCGTGTGATGATTTGTTGCTGTAGCCATAGAAGAACGTTAGTCAAATTGTAATGAATATGATGATTAGCGCTGTTTGGCACCCCTTGTAAAACTTTGCCTCAATCTGTAGGGGGCGCTAATGGGCCAATTTCACCTGACCTAAACCCTGGAGTTGAACATTGGATTCAAGTTTTGTGCAAATCAGACTTTCTTTGTGCAAACGGGAGCAATTTTAATGTCAAAAACGGCCAAAAAACACTCACATTTTCCCACTCCGCTGCTCAAACAACTTTTCACTGATAAAAAATCCCTTTGGTCATTTTGAAGGTAAATGTGTTGAGATGATGTGGAGCAATTTTGAGGCAAATCGGTGAAACGGCCGAGGAGGAGTCGCTTTCCAACCGACATGTATGAAAATGATTGCGGATCATTTTTCCATTTTGCAGTGAAATTTATGGGCTTCCTGTTTGTCAGAGGGCGGAGTCATGATAACATTTCGGTCGTATCTTGACTTGAGGAACATGTGTACCGAATTTCATGGCTCTACGACAAACTTGACCTCTGAAACTCCCATTGGCTGTTGTAGGTGGCGCTGTTCTTGCATTTTTTGAGTCCCATAAAAATAAACACCAAAATATCAAATTTTTCGCCAGGTCTGATGTTTGGGCAAAATTTTACAACTTTTCATGCATGTTCAGGGGGTCAAATTAAGGCTCAAAGTGCAGAATTTGACATCTCTCAAGCAAAAATAATAGGACCTTTCCCCGTTCGGGGCTCGGGCCTAATAAATATATAAATAAATAAATAAATAAATAAACAAACAAGGATTTTTTTTTTTGAAATCTTGAGCAAAAACAATATAGGTTTCAATGGCACGTGATACATCATTTTAAAGCGTTGGAAGTTTTGCACGCACCGCCACCCCGAGGCTCGGCCTAATGAGGATTTTTTTTTTCGACGTCTCGAGCAAAAACAATATAGGCTTCAATGGCACGTGATACATCATTTTAAAGCATTTGAGTTTACGCACGCAACTGTCACTCACCGCCACCATTTGTTTTCAACATTGTGAAAGCAATAGGCCCTTACCCCGTTCGGGGCTCGGGCCAAAAAATAATACCAAATGACGAACAGAACTTGTGTAATTGTGTGTATTAGGTTAACGATAAACCCTATGCTTTAAACATTACACATAACACATGTAATAGCTAGTTAGCTAGTTTAATAGCTAACTTAGCTCTCTCAGTCATGATCCCAGTAGATTAGGATCCATAGACAGCTGTTTTTACAACAAATCCCCCAGTTGAAGACTACAACAGCAGCATAGGGGCAAGAAAACAAAACCACGTGGACACAAAGTGAAACAATATATATTCAATAAACTAATATAGTAAATTTAACAGACTATACCTCCACGTTCGCCATATCTCTGTGTGTCTCTGAGTGGCGCAGCTCAAAACATTAGATTTGTGTAATGAACTTCATAATCATGTGGAACCACGGCTTCTCCTTCGTCAAGAGTACAGAAAGGTACAGACAGCTACCACCAGTACTGACACCTAGTGGATCTATTGTGTAACAGCTGATAACTTTCAAACCATCAAATATTTAACAAATCCATCTGCTTCGCCAAACAGTTTGGTTCTATCACTAGTTTTATTTTCTGTCAAATAAATATAATATATAGATCAGCCTTTTTCAGACCACTCAAAGAAACCATTTCCACATGACCCAACTCCACACCACTCCACTCTACTCTACTTGTTGGCGTTTCCATTACATTTTAGGATGTAGTACCATATTCTAGCACCCTACCCATAACAAATCAGTATCCTGCTTGGCCCTGGTTAGAACCATGGACTGGAAATATTAACCAGTGTCTTTGAGCATACATAAATAGTAATAAATACTAAATATTGGTACCTGGTTCTAACCTGGTTGATAGTAAATACTAAAAGTAAATATGAACCAAGCCAAGCAGAGCAGAATTTGGCTGATGCATACTCTTTTTCAAGTATGCAACAGATGTGCTCTGATTTCTTCAAATAATTTTACTTTTACATGACTGTTGGTCAGACTGTTTTATATGAAACACTATTTACTATTTTTGGTGAGAAAAGCGTTATATGTTTTGCACTGTTCACTGTATATTTTGTACGAGCATTATTTAAATGGTGAAATGTAATTTAAAATACAAATGATTGAGTATAACAATAAATTATGCAGCGGAACTTTGCTTTTGGTGGCGTTTCTACACGGACTTATTTTCAAGAGGACCCATGCTCCGGCAGCATCGCGTGTGGTTTCCGCGATGGAAGTGTGAGTAAAAATGTCATATAAGTTTGATGAATCTTTCTGAAACTAGAGGCTTTCTTGTTCATATTTTATATATATATTATTTATCTTTCGCAATGTTTTACCAATGGGATAATAAGTATACTACAAATCCGGTTAATGCGAGACAAGCTTCGAGTAAGCTAAATAAACTTCAAATCCGGTTAGCATATTATAATTTTCTTGCACTCTTCTTTAACATAAAATACAATGTGATCATTTATGTTTTATTACTTAATTGTCTTTCGATGTCAGCGCTTACTTTTCTGTTCTGTATACCGCTTTGGGTTGCATTGTGTATGGAGTGTGCTATACACACTCCATACACAATGCAACCTATGTGGGATTCACTCTACTTTAATTCCATCCATTTTATGTATAGCCCTAAAACACAACAACAGTAATCTCGGAAGGACTTTGATTCACCAAGGACAGATAGAGACTCAAACACTTGCAGTATACGGTTCAACACATAAAATGCAATAATATCATATATGCAATAACACATAGGAGCTATTGGTCCTTAGGGAGCGGGATGACCTATGTCTATATTTGTTAATAAAAACTAGGATAACGTTTCTCTCTGATAATATTAAGTAGTTCTAATGTGGTAGTGCTTTTAGTATTCTCTAGAGACACTAGGTAGATTTTTTGGTGTTTTATTGTAATCCTTAAATTATTTTTATTTTTTTTAGGAAAAATGCCAATGCTGCTATGCTCAGTAACTTTGAGGTATGTGTCTAACTCTCTCACCAAGTCTTTATTTGTCCATCTCTAATATATTACTGTTTTTAGATTTTTAAACTGCTGACGGACTTGAAGGAGCAGAGGAAAGAAAGTGGAAAGAACAAGCACAGTATTGGTCAGCAGAACCTCAACACCATCATGTATGAGGTCTGTTTAAAGTCTATTTCTGAAAAATATCAAGCTTTTGTCAGAGTTTTTTATAGTCTATTTCTTTAACTTTTAGACCTTGAAATACTTGTCGCAGACTCCATGCAGCAGGCAGAGTCCAGATATCGTCAAAGAGTTCCTCACGACAATGATGCCTCACAAACTTACAAAGTGAGTAAACAATTGTGTGTGTGGTCTTGTGTTCATTACAAAAATATAAATTCCTTGAAATTTCCCCAGTGTGGGACGAAGTGGTTGACAATGAATGACAAACCACTAACAACTCTTATCCTTCATATTCTCTAAAAAATGAAAATGCCAAAGTTTATTCTACCAGGTTAAGTAAACATATAAGTATGACTGTATTGCGTCTTTTTAAAATGCGTGTTTTTGCCTTGGTGGATAGAGCATGGATTGTTTTCTGTTGCAGGTCCTATTCCACACGCCAATCTAACTATTGACAGAAATTACATATAAAAAACACATTCAGGTGGTTTATTTTTGAAACATTACCACTATAATCATACTACAGACTTGCTATAAAAGTTTAGATCATCAAATCAATAATTGTTTTTCTTTCAGAGCAGAAAAGTTGCAGATACTAAACCACCGTCCGCAAACTGCAGTGGAAATTCAGCTTGTAAGTTGCTTTTATTAAAATTCTTTCTGCTTGTTACTAATGAATACATCTGCTAAATAAAAATGAAGATCGTTTTAGAGTAAATTCATAAAAAGAACTGATGATACTCAGATGATCCTTTTTTTCAACTGCTGTCTATGACATAATTAAATGACTTTGAAAAAGGGAAGAAACAGGCTCCAACTACAAATACCACGGCACTATTTTGGATATTAACATTGCTGCTATTGTGAAATGTAGTCGGCTAAGTATAATAGTTCCACTGTCTATATTTTTGTCTATACTTTGTCTTTGTCTATATTTGAATCCAGGCTGTCATTATAATTGAGAACGTTGTGTGTTTCTCCTTTTTCTGCTGGTTCCCGAAACCTTTTCTCAGATGATAATCAATAAAAAACAAGTTGGTCGCATCAGCTCAACAGTGACTTTTAGTCTTTAGCTTTCTGTAACCAGTAAATCATAAGGGAGGCCAAAAATATCGTCATCTATAGTATTGCGTTCATGTGACATCAACATTTTCCAATTCCATGTTTTGACTAACACCATCGAAATAAAACTAACCATTGAAATATTTGAGACGGCTAAACTGTAGCTTATGGGATTATATGGTATGGTATGTACGGTAAATTAAATATTAATTTCTGCTTGCTAAATGCATGGTCATGTATATTACTACTTTCATTTTATTGTTTAACAACAACCTGCTCAGGGACTACAGGAGTAAATTAGCACTGCTGCTACAACCTGGTACAAGGCATCTCTCCTCTTGGCTAATGTATTGTACACTGTCCCTGTAAAAATAAAAATCATACCATATACTATAGACCCTTTGGGGACATATGCTAACAATCCACTTTTCTCTTTTGACCATGTTATAGTTGTTTCCCTTCGTTGTTTACTTACACTAACGCATTGTCAAAAAGGATATGGGACAAAGGGGCTTAAGATAGAGCCATGCAATGTAACATCGCTTTAGATTAAGAGATCCTTTATTCGTTCCACAGTGGGGAAATTTCAGTCTTGCTTCAAGTTATAGAAAGAGTAGGAATGAGGAGCACGCAGCACAAGATAAATGAACAATCTCTAACTCTTGCATCAAATAATAAGTATAAAATCTCTATCTTGAAAACAGTGATAATAAAAGAAGTATAAAAGTTTTACATTTGGCAAAATAAGAGGCTAGTATAAAGTACTGTGTATTCTACTGCACGCATTGTGTACTGTAGTTATATGTTAGCATCTGTACATTAGCAGCAGTATGTTTACATGTTAGCAGCAGTATGTTTACATCTGTACATTAGCAGCAGTATGTTTACATCTGTACACTAGCAGCAGCATGTTTACATCTGTACTAGCGGCATGAGACTCTAGGACACAGGGTCTCTGTAAAGTGACAGTAACATGTGGTTATTGCACATTCTGATATATATTTATTTATTTACTTAAATGTGGACATATCAATATTGTCCACAATATTAGTGAAGGATATTGCACCGACGCATGACACTCAAGCTCAATCATGAAAAGAGCCATGGGGATCGTAGATTATCGAGAACGGAGTTAGCCCAGGTCCCCTTTAAACTTAGTGTTGTTGTGTGAACTTGTATGTATGGGCTCCACTCATGCTGCTCTTATACGTTGTCATGTGATTCCTCTGGTGGGGTAATTACATCTTGTAATGTGATAACTGCAAATGATGTAGTGTATAAACAGTTGAATTTCTGTTTAGTTGGTGGAAGAGAGTGAGGAGCGTCTCTCAGAGGAGCAGATCGAAGAGTTGATACAAACCATCGCTGAGGTTCTTCCCGGAGACCCAGAACAAGAGAAACCCGCCCCCGAAGGAACTGCAGACAATTCATGACACACATTCCTGACATTTACGATTTTTTTTATTTACCTTTTGAAAAAATGCTTGACCAAAACCAATCCTAGATAATGTTCCATTTTCTATTTATTTTGGTTTCAACTCAATAAAGATCATCCTTGAGTTGTGTAAAAGGAAGTCCCAAGATGAACAATGTTTTTTTGTTCCCAAACACCCACAGTTAAACTCTGTTATCAAGTTATTTTGTGCGCACCACAGAATTCAACAGAAGTAGTTGAATTCGTAATAATTCAAAATAGATTTTCATTTAGGTTATTTTGTTGTTTGTGACACATTTATATAATTCTACTAACATTTTCATTCAAATAGTTAGACACATGTATAAAAAAATCAGGCCAAATTTTGGGTGTGGTCATTGTTGAGTAATCATTAAATAATAAACAAGCCAAACTACAGTTGTGCCTCAAAGATGACTCACCCAGGCAGACATGTTTGGTTTTTTTTGGTCGTACACTGATCCCTTGTTTATGTTCTAAAAGTATCTAAGTGAAATCCACTAAAAAGCAGCTACACAGAAAAACGTTATGAGATACAGTACAGAGCAAAAGTTTGGACACACCATACATACCTTGTAGTACAATGGAGTGTACTATCATATTTTACTTTTATTTATGTTACAAAGATGGTTCTCATTGCCCATAATTATTATTCATTAGGTGATACCAACATGTATTCTATTCATTATTGAAATCAAGTTGTTATTGTGAGAGTCAGAGGTTTGTTGTGAGAGTTTGAGCAGAGGAAGGAAGCTCTCGGGAGTGTGTAGTGTGTAGTATAGTAGTGTAGTATAACATTTCACTGATGCAGACGTTTCCTGTTTTTACACAACTCAAGTAAAGATTGTGTTGCAGAGATGAATTGCAGTTTGTAAGATGCAAATATGTGTTGGATAAGGCTGAGAGACTTGTTAGAGGAGAGAAATTAGTTTTTACACATTGACAGCATCAAAGTGAAGCACAGTCTGTGACATCAATGCTCTCAATGCAGTGTTGAAAATATTGTCTGCAAGGAAAAGCAATTTATTAACGTTGCATTTTTGGCTAAAAAAACTGCAGTGGAATAGAGTAAAAATACAGATTTACCTTCCACCTGCAGACCTACTTACTGCAGTTCATACAGTAACAGGATTGATAAGATTGATCATGCCTATGGCATGATCAATCTTATCTACCAGTATACTAAAGGATCTTAACCTCACCAGACCAAGGTGGGACCAAGTCATTGTTTTAGATTGTCTCAAGACTTGGCCTTCAAATCTCAAGTCCCAAATCCAGACCGTCCTTTAACAACAGATAATTCATATTAACATTGCTACTGCTTTTAAAATCTGCCTGTATTTATAGGAACTTTGTTGAGGGAGCATAGGGAAAAGACATAAACAAATGCACTGTAAGTTAGTAAGTTTTTATTTATATACCGCCTTTTCACTGCAGATCTGAGTCTCAAAGCGGTTTACAATTGTTAATTTTTGGGCATTTGTATCTCACTCCACACAGAGATGGGAGCGGGGTCGCCTGTACAGGAAGCGCATGCCAGAACTATTGGACATATTTTTAGTGGTAGGGGAAACCGGAGTACCCGGAGGAAACCTACGCAGACACGGGGAGAACATGCAAACTCCACTCAGAAAGGCCCTGGTCCGACCGGGATTCGAACCCAGGACCTTCTTGCTGAGAGGCGAGAGTGCTATCCACTCAGCCACCGTGCCGCACTGCTGGAACGTTGTTTGTTCCTCTTCATTGGTTGTCCCGTAATCAGATCGCAACAATCTAATTTGAATCTAATTTTATTGTCGTTCCACACACATGTCAAGATGAGTAACGCACATGCAAAGAGAGATAGAGCTGTCAACAAACTTTTTCAACATTGGTTTGTGTAAAGTAGCAAGTCTTGTGAAATCATATTGTAACTTGATTTAAAGTCCAAGTCTAGTTGTAAGTCTTTCTATATTTTTTCAAGTTGAGTTTATAAAGTCGTACAATCCATAACACCAGTTAATAGTCTGTATAAAGCCCTGTTTCCATCAGTCATACTCTACTCTTCTCTAGCCCTTCCCAATTTGGAGCATTTCCACTTGGCCTGTTAAACCGGAACCTGGTACTTTTCTAGCCAGGCCGAGATGGAAATAAAGTGGCCGTGAATGGCCAGAGTGCTGCAGGAAGCCATTGTCACCAAAGAATTTCCCTGGATACTGGTTTGTTGCGGGTAGGTGGCTCGGATATGGCACCAGATACTGAAGCGCATTGGAAACACAACCAGGTAGAGTAGAGATGTGTAAAGTAGATCCAAGTAGGGCTGATGGATCATTTCATGTGAATAAATAATTGTAATTAAACAATGCATACACTTTATAATCATACGTTCCAAGCCAAGCAATAACGTCTCCATGGCAATAAATGGGTAGCGGACCCCATATAAAAAGTTTCGCAGTGCACCTTTAAGGCTTCTTATATTTCTTCTAAACGTCACGGATTGAAAATATGATAATGAAAATATATAAATGAAATGAAGTGGTTGTATCTTCCACTTATACCACACACTGATTGAATTCCCCCTGTGGGCTTTTACTGAGAGCCCACGAATCGATAAGTAAAGTAATTTGATCTGACGGTTGCCATAGCAATTAAAACCAATTTATACAAATATTTTCAATAGTAAAACGCAATCAAATCTTTCTTGCAAATTGTCATCTTAAACCCGCGAATTTATAATAAAAACATAATAAGCTATGGCCCAACGACTGCGGTCGTAAAAAAATCATTAACGCGTCTAGACCAATCAGCGCAGTGCATGTAAATGTGTTGCGCCATTTCAACCAATCAGCGCTCGTCTTCATCCAACCCCCAGTCCCCTCATATATTTCCCCATTTAAAAGATAGGCAACACTTCACATCACGGTACAAAGTTATATATTACGCAATGTGTAACAGTGTACGCTACAGAACGCCCACAACTAAACAGCGAAGCCAGTGTTGACATTTTTTATCCGGACCACTCACTTCTTCATTGTTTTATAAGAACAAGGGGATTTTTTTTTCCCCTTCTCTGCAGATTTCGGCTGTTTCGCAGACATTGGTGAGTGAAATCACATCGTACGTCTTATAATAACGTAATCTAAATGACTCTCACGTACGCATGGTGTCGACACGCACACGGTTGAATGCGTGTTTCGGCAGAGGTCTCGAAACTCTGGTCTGTCATGGTTTGTGGATTTGACGGCAGCGAGGGTCGTTCACCTGGGTCCAGTGCAGATGTGCTTCGCCGCTGGGCCTGTCCACATAATCGGCTTTTTAATCCTCTTTCAATCGCGCTGGCCATTTTTTTTGTCTTGATTAGGTGTCTTCTTTATTAACGTGGAAATATGGTGTAACAGCAGCAGCACAAGTGTTTATAGATTTGGATCTGCTTTTAGGTACTGTCTTTTTCTTCATTCTGCAGCATCTGAATGTAGCATCTATTTTCTAATGCATAGACTGTTGATTATAGAGATAAAAGCTAATAATCCTCACACATGAGATTGCATAGTTGCCTCTCTCTCTTCTACAGGATATTATTTTTAATCTTATCAAAAAAGTACTGGTTTTAAAAAACGTATTCGCCTTTGTTGTCAAGTCAGTTGTTTTACCATTCATAAAGGAGACAGTTTGGTGACTCTTGTGCTAAAAATAAGCTGAGCAATAAATGGTTTGTTTAACGTTTCTTCTTCTTATCACGTTCAATTTTCATTTTGTAGTACATATTTTTTTTTTTTAAGATTTCTGCAGCAACTGGATGCAGGCAACACTTACAACAAGCCCTATTTCGTTCTGATTAGACTCATAAGATAATGGAGATAAAACCTATTTGGCATCATCGCCTATCTCTTACACAGGATGTGTTTTGAAATTGAATCTTATCAAAAAGAACATGTTTTAAGAAAAACAAAACAAAAACACACATTACCCTATGTTTTCAAGTCTATCTCTGATTCTAACCTTGTTATGGTGGCTCTCCATATTGTTTTCCTTTTTGTGATTAAAAATATTTCAATAACAAGATACTTTATCACATACAATTGATAATACATATATTATCAACTTTGCCATTCATGAAACAGTCCTTTTGGTTAGTTAAGAGGTGATAAGTGATATTTATTTCATGTTAAAGAGAATATAACTGGGACACGTGTATCTGGCAAATTTAGCCTCTGTTGCAGTTTGTAACGTATTATTATAATGTCTCTATTGTAAGTTTAAGGGCGACAGTAGCTCAGTTGGTAGAGCATTGGCCTCTGCACCTTCTCCACCGACTCCCACTGATGACTGCTGTCGTTGTGTCCTTGGGCAAGACACTTAACCCCACTTTGCCCAAAAAGCCCCCACTGAAAGATCAAGGCTATGCTCACACTCAGAGAGCAGCCGTCCTCCTGTGGACTCACCACCTGCAGAGGGTCAGTGAGGGGCTGGTGCTATGAGACTTGGGTGGCATCTCTGATTGCCACCCCCCTGACCCAGAAATGGATTAAAGGGTAGAAAATGGATGGATGGATATTGTAAGTTTAAAGTGAATGTTGGTCATTTCCAGTCCTCTCTGATTACAGGTCTGTGCTCCACTTATCTGTGCCTTTTCAGGGTCAATCCCAGATTTATCATTGAAGTATTTGATACATTTATGTTAATCTGGTATTGTGTGGTGCAGACCGCCTCCCCCTCACTGCGCTGTCAACCTGATAATTAAGATGCTCATCAAATCATTTAGTAGGTCGCTTTGACATTTTCTATGATATCTATTTAACTTGTTCACTGGGACACATTAAGATTTCGGAAATATTTAAGGCTTTTTCGATAAACTCTCCAAAATCCATTAATTGTAAACAATTAATTATCAGATTCTCATTTTTTATTTTTTGTGTGTAAGTTTCAGTTCCAGTTCAAGCTAGAAATTGTATGAGAAATCACATCTGGAGTACACGTATACATACATTTATACACATTTACAAACATTTTACATATACACGCACCTACATAAGAGAAGCAACAGACATGATAGAAAAAACACCAAGGATACATAGAATATTGAATATAATAATTGTAATCATAATTATAGCTAAACGACTAAAAAAACTGTATAAACAACAAAACATTGTTTTATTCAAGGTCTATGTTTGGATGCTGTATTATTCATATAGATGTGTTTTAATACAAAATCATTATTTATTAACATGAAACCAAGGCCAAGCCTTTTAATTAATTAATGAATTGAAAGAGCATTGCCCCTCCACAGTTATCTGTTTCTATATTTCAGACATTTGAGAAGTCATAAAGCTTTCGGATGCCTACTCCTTACAGCCCTGCCCTACTTCAGTGCTGCTTTAAAAGTGGCTTAATCTCTGTGTACATATAAATGCATGAGAATTGTATGTAAATCCCTCTGGGTTTTCCGTCTCCTTATCCCAGATTAGGAAGCACCTCTGGGCAGCAGACGTTCACTCGGTTCTGTCCGTGTTTTTACTCCTGCTCTTATCTCCAGCAGAAACAGAGACGTGGCATGCAGATGTGAGGCCTGGTGCACGACATCCACACATGAGCCAAACCATGGAAACGCCAAAAAAAAGAGCGCACGCAGTGAAAGATGTGGGCAAAATAGTAAAGTCCAGCTGCAAAGACTTATGGGAGTGTCTGCAGTGTGGCTATAGACTATTACTGAGAGCGGAGAATTACTCACTGGGATTTTGTATTGTTTGGGCAAAGAATAAGAATGCTCTGGCAGTGGTCATAAGTTTTCAGAAAAGTAACCCATAAAGATGAAACTAGGAAAAACTCTCATTAATGAATTGTTCCAAGCATATTTGGAAATGCTTAAGGAACATCAATTTAACTTCCCTCTCTCTGCAATGCGGAACATCCAAAGAGCAAATACTGACTTGGCAATTGAGAAAAAAGTAAAGGCAAGTTAATTTGTATCACACAATTCATACACAAGGTGTAAACTCAAAGTGCAGAACAAAACGAGACAGAATCAATCACACAAGGCATTCAACTTATAAATAATAAAAAAAATAAGGTCAAAAAGGGTTAAAAACAAAACTGTTGTTAACCTGGATTTAAACATTGTCAGAGAAGAGGCCTGTCTCACATTTTCAGGAAGATTGTTCCAGATTTTAACAGAATATGAAATGCAGCCTCTTCATGTAAAAAGGTTGCAATTCTCGTACAAGTTTATCTTAAATTCACCCATATACTATCATTTTCCTTGTTTTTAATCTGACAAAACGATTTATTTTATCTTGTCTTGTGTACTCCTCATGCCGACCGTTCTGTAACTTATGAAGCAACACTGACATTTCCCATAAAATGATTTCTTATTAATAAAACTACCAGCAATGTCATTCAACATTACAACACGCTTTATCCCCTCCAACAAATGTGCAGCTCTACATTTGCAAGTCAAAATATTTTGCATACATTACACTGACAAAACATATAACTGTCTACCTTTCCCTGCCTCATTTTTTTTTTATTTCCATACATTTTCTGGCCCCAACACAATGTTTTGAAAGTTTCTCATGCCACGTTTTTTAGTTTTCGAGTGCTTCAAGAGGAACAGTCCTGTGTAGTAAGCGTGCGAAGGGGAAATGGAGAAGTTGTGGTTTTGCCGTCTCGGCCAATGGTAACGCGATCCTCCTCCCAAAGCGCTCCGGTCTCAATGCGGTAGAAACTGTCAGAGAGAATGAGAGACAACTGAGATCAGCGTTTTTGAGCTGCAGGTCCTTTTGTAGTATAAAAGAAACGGCTCGAGATGGAGAGCTGGATTTGGTTATATAATATTCTCAGCATGGCTCCGGGCGCTTTAACTAAATGATAATCAATATGTTTGGACTGTTTTGAAATATGGGATGATTTTGTTTCGTTTCATGAGGCGACTGTCTGGACCGCAGCAGCTCGGATTGTAATAAACAGGGAAACGCAAGATACAGTCAATAATTGAAACGGCGACTTCATACAACTTGATGAGGACCAGATAAGGAATGGTTTACGAGGAAATTCAATTCAATTTATTCTTGTGTAGAGAGCCCTAAATCACAACAGCAGTTATCTCAGCGGACTTTACAAAACAGTTGGATTTGCCAACACGGATCAGAGAATCAAAACAGTTTAAACTCAAGAAATGCTATGATAAACACATAGAGCCTGTGGTCTATAAGGAGCAGATGACCAATGTCCATAAATGTTGTTGAATAAGATAAAATAGACTTTATTGATCTCACACTGGAGAAATTTACATGTCACATTTTCATGTCACAGAAGTGTACAAACATGTTAAAGGTTAAGAATGTGTGTGCAGGATATAATTATGTACAATAAAATGTTCATAATGTCCTGGATCATCACCTGTGTCCTTAGACCCTCCTGCATCGGCAAGGCAAAACTCTTTATTATAAAAAAGTCTACTTAAGCTTCACAGAATAATTGTGGTGTTTAATGCAGTCTGGGCCTTTCTGAATTTGCGTTATCTCCTAGTATCTAGCTGGTCTCCTTCCGTGTCGTTCTGGTACACCCTTCCCCCCCTCCCCAATTTTACTTATGTACAATAGGTAAAATTCTTCACCTCGTGTAGTCTTTCTGACCAAGCCTAGAGGTGGGTCCCTAGTCTCTAGTGACCTCTGCTCCTGACTGTGAACCCAGTATTTGAAGGATTGATCAAAAATACAGAAGAAGATATTCTTTTTTGATCTCAGAATATAGAAATCTGGTTGATGATTACACATATAACACATCAAGGCATGCAGCGCAGATTACTTCCATGCCCCTAATAGGCAAAGTGGGGTAAAGTGTCTTTCCCAAGAACACGACAGCAGACATCAGTGGGAGTCGGTGGAGGTCTTGCGGTGGGCTCGAACCCACGACCTTCAGGTTATAGAGAACACATTTACCTACAGATAATAAAGAATACTAAACCCTAACAAACCCTGCTGCTCTTTAGACCCATAATTTTATTTCAATCTCCCTTCAGCTAAATTGCCTACAACAGCGACAGAATAATAAAACATTCAAACCCTGTGTGTTCTTTTTGTTTTGTTTTTTTAGGAACAATGAGTAAAAGACGAGACAGGCTCCGGTCTCCAGGACTTGTTGGACTCCAGGGCTGAAACCGCAGATGGAACCGAGCCTGGGTTTTACATGACCTCATCCTGCAATCGTGTTCCCTTCAGCTTTTCCCATGAGAACCCTCAGTCTGCCTCCTCCTCACCTGCCGTAAACCCACAGGTGACCACGGAAATCTTATTCACTCGACCTGAATATCCTATTCTTGTGTCTTCTACTGTCTTTGTAGACCCTCATGCTGCTAACGTGTACAGATGTAAACATACAACTATACATCTCTTGCACTAGAATATATATATATATACAATACTTTATACTTGCTTCTTTATTATGTTGGAGATTTTATTTTGTCAAGTCATCCTTTGCTGTGTTCTCCTCATTCCTACTGCTCAATAACAGGTGATGCAACACTGAATTTCTTAATCGTAATCTTTACTTACTCTACAGAGAAGCAGTGTTCAGTAATTCCATTTTAGTCATTTTGTAATTGTTGCGGTAATGTTGAATTTGTTTTTGTAATTTGTGTTGCCACATTTTGGTTCTTCTTTGCACATATCCTGTCTTTTTGGCACACCCCGAGTGATCCTATTTAAACCAAATGGGAGATGTATTGATCTCACAATGGAGAAATGTAAAGTCTAAATTATCGAAATATCTTGAACTAATGTCAGAATGTGCGATACAGAACCACATGTGTCCACAGTTGCTCTCGTCACTTTGTCCCAGAGCCTCATGCTGCTAACATGTTAAGATGTATACATACAACTATATATCACTTGCACTAGAATACACAGTACCTTTAGGATAAGATAGACTTTATTGAACTCGCACTGGAGAAATGTACATGTCACATTTGGCATCGATAGAATCACAGCAAAAGACAGAAGTGTGCAAACAAGTTAAAGGTAAAAAATATAGTCTGTTCAGAAATAATTATGTACAATACAAAGTAGCAGTCTGACTTATTATGCCAAAGGAGATTTTTATACTTCTTTATTATGCTAAAGATGGAGATACTTCATGCTAGAGTTAGAGATTTTTATTTTATTTTATTTGGTATAGAGTAATTGTTCATTCATCTTGTGCTGTGTGCTCCTCATTCCTACTGTTCTGTAACTGATGCAACACTGACATTTCCCCACTGTGGGTCGAATAAAGGATCTCTGTCTTGTCCTGCTATAGAGGTGGATGTGACTTCTCCCTGACCATGCGGACGAGCCGGTCCACGCTGCTCCTGGGCTCGGTCCTCTTCTGCTCCGCCTCGCTCCTGTACCTGGGCATGAGCGGCGTGGAGTGTCCGCCCAAGAGCCACCGCCACAAATGGATGGAGATGCGCCTGAGCCAATCGGCCAATCAGAACTTGTCTCTGTCCGAGCACTTCCCCGAGGACACCCCCCTCATCTTCATCGGAGGCTTCCCTCGCAGCGGCACCACGCTGATGCGCGTGATGCTGGACGCCCACAACGCGGTCCGCTGCGGCGAGGAGACCCGCGTCATCCCCCGGCTGCTCGCCATGAGGGCCACGTGGAGCCGTTCCGTGAAGGAGAGGATCCGCCTGGACGAGGCCGGGGTCACAGACCAGGTGCTGGACGCCGCCGTCAGAGCCTTTCTGCTGGAGGTGAGGACTTTGGCGACTTTTTGTGTTGACGCTACACAGCAGAAAATGATACAATATGAGGTAAAAAATGCTTGAATAAATGGTCTTGTATCTTTTTGAGCACATTCTGACTGTCTCAAAACAAGAAACCTTGGCAACTCTTGTTATAAGGCAGTCAAAGTGTGCCCAAATGAATTACATTTAGCCAAATGTTAGCAATTTTTGACTCATTTTCCATCGCTTTTTGCAGTGTAGGGCTGTGGGACCTTTGTCTAATTGTTATTTTTTAGGTAATCGTCGCGTTTTCTGTTATTAATCCACAATAATGTTGCACTAATACAATTTAGGATTTGTCGGAATACTGGAACCTGGGGAAAAAACGATCCAAGATTGTCCCGTCTTGTTTTATGTTCTAATGTAAAGCATCTTTGGGTGTCATGAAAAGTGCCATTTAAATGTTAGTACAGGTATTATTATTGTCATTTGTTGGAATTAAATGACAAGCATGTCCTCTCTTAAATCCCCATTGGACTAAGCTGGATAAAAGACTGGACTTGCGTTGCAGCATTAACTACCATATTTAATCTCTTATTAGCCTGTTTTTAATATTTGCAGTGATCCGCCTTCGAAACACAGCCAGAGTTATGTAACAGGCGTCATTCACTGTTTGAAAGGAAATATTTAATAAAATAAATAAATGCAGTCTTTGCGATTGTCAAATTGCAGCCAATAAAATTTTCATTTGATTGTAATTAATCGTGACGCCATCAACCAAATCCAGAACCACTAGATGTCGTGAGATTGTCAGTTGTGCACATTTTCTTGGCTTTTTCCATTTCCAGATATAGAGAATTTACACTGCAGTGATTGATTATGAAGTACAGTTGTAAAACGTGATTCAGAATGGGAAGTTTTATTTGATCTCTGTCCTGAAATGCTGTGATGTTGACGGTACACTTTCTGTTGCAGGTGATTGTTGGACACGGAGAGCCGGCCCCTCGTCTCTGTAACAAAGACCCGTTTGCACTGAAGTCTCTGTCCTATCTGTCGCACATCTTCCCAAAAGCCAAATTTGTGCTGATGATCCGCGACGGCAGAGCGGCCGTCCACTCCATGATCTCACGAAAGGTAAAAATATTTGCGCTCAATCATCAAACATCTGAAAGTTTAAAAGGAGTTTGTGCTTTTGGGGCTTTTATTATTAACATCATTCACACAGCTGCAGAACTAGTAAAGCCTGGTTCACATGGCAGGAAAATTAGGCCGATTTTGGACCCGATTTACCCCTACGACAATCGTAAGAACGCTCCGAATATTGTAACAAAAAATCTGATGGATTGTCCTGCCGTGTGTGTTAAGACTGTGCTCGTCGCTTGGAAGGACTTTGGGACTGCTCCGATCTCAATATCGGGGATATACAACATGTTGGATTGTTTTGCCCCGATTTCTCCTCGTGTGTGGTGTCCCCCGAGGACAGACGAGCGCGTTGCCATGACTGCGGCGTGTAGCCAATCAGAAGACGAGACGAGGCGGCGAGGAAACTCTGTAAAAAACCAACTCACCTTCACATCACGATGAAGCAAGTACAGTCCATGCTCGCGTTGTCTACATTTGACCATCGCCTTTTCTTTTGATTACGTCTTTTCTCAGATAAAAACAAAGTATTGTCACTGCATCCTCTTCGTCCGCCATGATTGTTTACTCTGAAGTCACGCTTGATCTCGCGAGATTTTGTGAGATTTCCGTCTGATCTGGGAATGCTCTGGAGTGAAATCGGTTTGTGTGTGATGTGTGTGGTTTGCGTGATTTTGCCGTGTGGCTGCGCACCACACACTGTACGACCAAAGTGGTTAGACCCATGATTTTTTATCTCCGTGTGTGAGGACAGAGAAAAAATCGGCCGAGGCTTAAGCCTCTACACTTCCTCATAGTGGCATTTATTTATAGCCAGCTGCAATCTTTTTTCAGTCTTTTCTTGAGTACTATTTCACCCATGTTTCTAAACACTGTACACTTGACCCAAAAGAATAATTGTAAACGAAAAAAGTGCGATATAACCCTTTCACCAACAATTGGATCTCAATAATAAGTTTAGATCAGGCCAAATAACAATACACTTTGTACATAGTGGAGTGTTCTAACTGGATCAAAACAATCTGCTTTTGTCTGTATGCAAAGTCTATGGGTATGTGCTGGCTCATAGTTTCATTTCATTGTAAAATAAATAAATAATAATAATTAAATAAAAACCTTAAATTTAATTTTGCTACAGGCTATAATGAAATGGCAAATAGTGTTTTTCTTTCTTGAACTTTTTCACTCATGTTCCACAACACTGGACGTTGGGAGCACACTTGAAGATGACTTGCTTACTTAACACTTGGAGTGGAGTACTCGAAACCACTCAAAAGCGTCTGTGTGTCTGAAAAGTCTCTGGGTATCTGGCGGCCCGTGACTGAACCAGGTCTAAACCAGGTCTAAATCAGGACCGCACCAGTCTAATTCTCGATAGAAAGCTTTATGTGCTTCATGTTAGTGTTGTAGCTGCAAATCCTCTGGACCCAGCGCTGTTTTTTTTTCTCCTTTTCTGATGTTGCTACACTGTAAAAAATATGATAAAATATGGAGTAGGAAGTGCTTGTATCGAATGGTTTTTAACTTATTTTGAGTACATTGTGACTCTTTCAAGAACCGTTGCCTTATTTTCTCGTTCCAAGGGAGACATTTCTTGTATCTTTTTAAAACAAAAAAATTGGTAATTGTTAATGAATCAGTCAAAATGTGCCCAAAGTAAGATACATTTAGCAAAAAATCTGCAATTTTTGACTTTTTGCATTTGTTGCACTTTGTTTCCATTAAAAAATAATCTCTCACGCTCCTCCTCTCCCCCTGATGTCGTCGTGAAATCAGCTTCATCCAACTTATAATTGAAACATTTTGTGTTGTGGGAAGAATGCCTGTTGCACAGTTGTTAAACAGAGGAGTCGGAACTGCTCAGAGCCCATTCGTGCATCTGTAACACTGACGCTGCCAAGAATCTAAACTCTAATCCCAAGATCATCCCTGGGAGACAAATAGAAATCACGGAAATGTTGTGGAATGTGTTTTGGTTTTGTAAATGTAGAAGATGAATAGGTCTGACAATAAATCTCTATATGAAAACACAGCAGAGGAATGAGCTCCCCCTTGAGAATCCGAATCCGATTAATTTTTTTACTGCTGTTGTAACAGGAAGTCACAACTAGGAATTTGCTTTGGCTCAAGGTGAAAACACGTAAGAGTAAAAATAGGTTAAGGCATGCATCATAAAATCTTAAATCTCTTAAAGTTACTACTACAGTGGTATCAAAATGTTTTGCACCCCTTTCAATTTGTAGGATTTTCTTTGATATATCCTTATTTGTCTTAGATGAGAAATCTGTTAAATATATCATGTAGGAGACAAACACTGTGATATTTGAGAAGTGAAATAAAGATTTTACCATTTACAGAAAGTGTTCAAGAATTATTCAAACCAAATGGTATATATATAAGTATTAAGTACACTAGTAGTAGTAGTTTCAAGAATCTATAAAGACGTCTGTAGTAGGTCATTTCCATACAATAAGACACATAAGATCCTTAACCACCTTTTGGCTTATTTAAATTGGAATTCTCTAGATACCTCTATTCTACCTCCTGCTGTATGTATAGACTATATCTGATTATTGCATACAGAAATCATGTTTTCTGAATGTAATGTTTTTGTAGGGGTGAAGTGGGATCAGAGGGAGCTAACCTGTCCTGTGTGTGTTTTAAATGTGTAAATGTTAATTGTTTGGATTGTATTATATGTATTGTGTTGGTTTTTTGTTCATGGGACCCTCTCGAATATGAAATGGGCTTTCCCTAAATAAGATCAAATCAAATCAAGGCATAAGACAAAGGGCAGGGGTATGTGATAGGCCAATGCACTGTTAAAGGTCTTAAAGGTTATGAGAGCGATTCTTGTTTTCGTGCCCGCAGTATCTACATCATTGCGTTGTGTTGTGGCAGGTGACCATCTCCGGCTTCGACCTGAACAGTTACCGCGACTGCCTGACCAAGTGGAGCAGCGCGGTGGAGACCATGGTGACCCAGTGCATGACGGCGGGGCCCGAGCGTTGCCTCCCGCTGAGGTACGAGGAGCTGGTGCAGCGTCCGGAGCTGGAGATGAAGAGGCTGCTGATCTTCCTGGACCTGCCCTGGGACCGAGCGGTTCTGCACCACGAGGAGCTGATCGGGAAGGCAGGGGGCGTGTCGCTGTCCAAGTGAGTGTCGTCATCGTTGTCATGGATACGCTATAAGATCAAAGCCTTTTCATTATGCATGAAATCAACTAAGGGATTACTTCTGATGGAGAAAAAATGAATGTATAACCATGTCAAAACCATTGACAATATAAATGGACAAAGTTTTGCTCCTATTGCCTTCCATTCAAAAGTAAACTCCTCTAGCTCAGTAATCATTTGTGTCCCACTCACCACTTCTTGGCATAAAAATGAGTGGATTAGCGCTTTTTTGACTTGTCTTTGATGATAAATCCAGATATGAACCAAAAGAATTGACCAGACGCCTTCATTTATGGGAGAAATTCCAGCTTTCCTTAGCAACCATGTTGGCAACACGTCTGCCCAGTTACGGCGCAAAGCTAACCGTGTCGGAACAAATGGCCATAAAAGGAAGTTGACCCCGGCTAGCTCATGTTCAAATTGGCTTCTTCCGCATTAAGGCTAACACTCTGACATCAGCACTCTGTTATATCTGTTGTAGTTCTGTCATTTTTTGACGTCTTTGACCTATTTACAGTCCGCACGTTCTACATATATTTATCTTTTCCAATGGACTTCTACTATGTTCTGGTTTCCTGAAAACTAGAAATAAAAAATCTTTCATACACCAGTATTTTTAGTTTTAGGAAAAGCAACATGAAAGAGGCCTGCAGCTGAAATGTGACTTATCCTGAAATACAGTGCCTTGCGAAAGTATTCGGCCCCCTTGAACCTTTCAACATTTTGCCACATTTCAGGCTTCAAAAATAAAAATATAAAATTTGATTTTTTTTTTGTCATGAATCAACAACAAGTGGGACACAATCGTTAAGTGGAACGAAATGTATTAGATAATTTAAACTTTTTTAACAAAAAACTGAAAAGTGGGGCATGCAATATTATTCGGCCCCTTTACTTTCAGTGCAGCAAACTCGGTCCAGAAGTTCAGTGAGGATCTTTGAATGATCCAATGTTGTCCTAAATGACTGATGATGATAATAGAATGCACCTGTGTGTAATCAAGTCTCCGTATAAATGCACCTGCTCTTAGATAGTCTCAGGGTTCTGTTTAAAGCGCAGAGAGAACCATGAAGACAAAGGAACACACCAGGCAGGTCCGAGATACTGTTGTAGAGAAGTTTAAAGCCGGATTTGGATACAAAGATTTCCCAAGCTTTAAACATCTCAAGGAGCACTGTGCAAGCAATTATATTGAAATGGAAGGAGTATCAGACCACTGCAAATCTACCAAGACCCGGCCGTCCCTCCAAACTTTCATCTCAAACAAGGAGAAGACTGATCAGAGATGCAGCCAAGAGGCCCATGATCACTCTGGATGAACTGCAGATAACTACAGCTGAGGTGGGAGAGTCTGTCCATAGGACAACAATCAGTCGTGCACTGCACAAATCTGGCCTTTATGGAAGAGTGGCAAGAAGAAAGCCATTTCTCAAAGATATCCATAAAAAGTCTCGTTTAAAGTTTGCCACAAGCCACCTGGGAGACACACCAAACATGTGGAAGAAGGTGCTCTGGTCAGATGAAACCAAAATCGAACTTTTTGGCCACAATGCAAAACGATATGTTTTGCGTAAAAGCAACACAGCTCATCACCCTGAACACACCATCCCCACTGTCAAACATGGTGGTGGCAGCATCATGGTTTGGGCCTGCTTTTCTTCAGCAGGGACAGGGAAGATGGCTAAAATTGATGGGAAGATGGATGGAGCCAAATACAGGACCATTCTGGAAGAGAACCTGTTGGAGTCTGCAAAAGACCTGAGACTGGGACGGAGATTTATCTTCCAACAGGACAATGATCCAAAACATAAAGCCAAATCTACAATGGAATGGTTCACAAATAGACGTATCCAGGTGTTAGAATGGCCAAGTCAAAGTCCAGACCTGAATCCAATCAAGATTCTGTGGAAAGAGCTGAAGACTGCTGTTCACAAACGCTCTCCATCCAACCTCACTGAGCTCGAGCTGTTTTGCAAGGAAGAATGGGCAAGAATTCCAGTCTCTCGATGTGCAAAACTGATAGAGACATACCCCAAGCGACTTGCAGCTGTAATTGCAGCAAAAGGTGGCGCTACAAAGTATTAGCGCAAGGGGCCGAATAATATTGCACGCCCCACTTTTCAGTTTTTTATTTGTTAAAAAAATTTCAATCATCCAATACATTTCGTTCCACTTCACGATTGTTTCCCACTTGTTGTTGATTCTTGACAAAAAAAATAATTTTTATATCTTTATGTTTGAAGCCTGAAATGTGGCGAAATGTTGAAAGGTTCAAGGGGGCCAAATACTTTTTCATTTTTTCACTTTTTCACTGTATAAACACAAGTACGAGTACAATGTGTTTTTCTCAATCTTTGGCTCAGCTGAGTGTGGGCCTCTCACGCACACAATCAGATATGCATAGTTTACTCCTTATTTGTACCTTCTTATTTTTGACTGGAGAAGCGCCAAAGTAGTCAGTATACAGCTTCTACAATGGTACTTTGCATTTACTGTCATCTGAAAGGAACTCCATAAAAACAGAAGTGACCAGAGTCTGTTTGCTCTCATACATATTTATTCTCTTCTGTTTGGCTCATCAGTTTCACAGTATTTTATTTTATAGGATTCTTTTTTACCCCTCAGCCTAGAGACCAGTGTGACCCGCTGACACAAAATGACTCTCTGACATCAATAACCATGATTATGTAACACTATTGATCCAGCTAAAAGCAAATGTATATTTACCCGGTCATAGTGCAGGCGAGAGTACGGCCAGTGCTTCCCAAACCGGGGGCATCGAGACGTTAACAATTTGTATTTTTGTTTAAAGACGTATACGTATAAATTATTTAAAGGTATTTGTTTCTTCTACACCAGACGATAGTAAGTTAGCGATGTTATTACCTTGACATGACATAGGTAATAGACGAAACAAATACCTGAATTTCTACTAAGACAAGGTAACCCTTTCTAAACTAGTTAGAAATACTGAAACTTTTGTCACCTGCTCATTTTGTGGGTAGTAGCCTGAAAGTTAAGGAACAACATTTTGTGATTTTGTAGTTGCATTATTATTATTTTTGTATTATTTTTTTTTTTCCCTTTTTTTGTGCTTCAGATGTGTTTTGCTCATAAAAGGTCCCCCCCCTCTCCCTTGTCTGCATGGCTGGCCTCATGAGTGACTTTATATCAGTAATCAATGTCAGTCTGTTACATGGATATTCTGTGTGTGACGAGGGAAGATGGACTCATGCCCTCAGCGCTCAGACCTCATTAATGTGTCCCTTATTAATCCCCACAGTCACTCAGGAGACACACGCACTGCCTCTACCTCAGTCCAACAACTGTATTTTGCTAATCCAACAGTTTACATTGATTTTATTTATTTGAACACCATTAAATCTGACCAGAGAGGGGGAGAGAGACCAGAGAGGGGGAGAGAGACCAGAGAGGGGGAGAGAGACCAGAGAGGTGGGGGGGAGGGGAGAGGGAGGGAGAGAGAGAGCCCGTAGAGAGCCCAGGGAGAGAGAGCCCGGAGGGTGACCGGGAGAGAGAGACTGGAGGGTGACCGGGAGAGAGGGACCAGAGAGGCCCACTGATTTGGATGAGATCAGTTAATTTTCAGTTTTTAGACCGAGTCAAAGGATTAATATTCCAATTCAAACATTCAGTGCTTTCCTGATCTCATTGCTGTGGATTTAGTGGGATCTAAGCTACAGTATGAGGAAAATAATACAGAGAAAACTGGGTCCTGGCACATGCTGCCTTTAGAGGAATTAAGGCCACGTTTGATTTCCTGACTTCTGTAGTTGTAAAAGCCTGATGGAGAGCAGTGAGGAAATGAACGTGTATTTGGTATTTCTTGTGGTTCAATGGGCAATAACCCCCTGTGTAACACAAGGGATTGGTTTAAACGCTATAAAAATGTCTATGTACATTCAATGTCATCCCAAGTATCATCCCACCCATCTTGTTTTTTTCAGCACTTTGAGTTGCCTTGTGTTTGAACCGTGCTATACAAATAAATTAGCCCAGCCCTAAAGATTTAGTCAGTGATTTATTTTTTTATTTTTTTCCAGAAGCATTATTTTTAATATTGTGGGAAAACGTCCCTAAACCCTAAAAGTAGTCAAGTTATCATGTGTTTTCAAATAGTACTGGAATTGACCAGATGCCTGTAGTCTCCAAAAATCAATAAAAAATATTTTGGAGCGGACCGATTAAAAATAAACCAATGGGATTCGTTCATCCCCTTCACCCTCTTCCTGTTTCTCGCAGTTGTGCGCACCGGAGTTATCAGATTTTCTAAAACGTTAAATGGCTAAACAGAAAATTAAATTTCACATTTGCCACCCACTTTTCCTGTTGTGACATAGAAAAGAAAATGCTGGATGTTTGGTTTGGTGGAGAGCCGAGGGGAGGAGTGGTTTTGAGTTGGTGCTACGGCTAAGCTAACAACATTGCTTACTGCACCTTTAACATTGGCTCTTGTGTGTTTGTGTGCGCGCAGAGTGGAGCGTTCGACGGACCAAGTGGTGAAGCCTGTGAACACGGAGGCGCTCTCCAAGTGGGTGGGCAACATTCCGGAGGACGTTCTGGGCGACATGGCAGAGATTGCCCCCATGCTCTCGCGCCTGGGCTACAACCCGCACGCCAACCCCCCCGACTACAGCCAGACCGAGCCCCTGGTGCCGGGATACAACCTGTCCCAGCCGCTGCAGTGACGTGACGCGCCACCGTACAGGGCTGCACGGTTAGACTCACTCTACCACAGCTGCATTGGGACCAGATGCCTTTTTTTCTTTTTTTAAATCGCAAAAGCTGAAGTTATTTGGATATAGATGTTTTATTGATCCCCACGTTGGAGAAATTCATGTGTCAAGCAGCAAAAAAGCATCATTCATACAAACAAAGGATTACATGAGTCTATAAAGTTGCTAACAATAGTAATAAAGTGCACGTGTTTAACCTGAAGCGGAAGGATTGTTATAGAATAACTTTTTTGTCCGTTATGCCGCAGTGATGGAATGTGTCTTTAGCAAGTACTTTCCAAGACAAGCAAACAGGTTATGAGGCTGTGTCATTTTACTTTTAGATTCCATTCAGTTCCATTTATTTTTGTATGGACAGTGGCTGATGGTTGTGGGTTTGAGCCCACCACAAGACCTATTTCATGACTCCCACTGATGACTGCTGTCGTTGTGTCCTTGGGCAAGACACTTAACCCCACTTTGCCTGAAGCCCCGCTGAATAATCAAGGCTCCTGTGGACTCGCCTCTTGCAGGAGGATCAGTGAGGGGCTGGTGCTAATGGTACTGGGTGCATCTCTGACTGCCACCCCTGACCCAGAAATGGATTAAGGGGAAGAAAATGGATGGAAGGATAGCCTTAAATCACAACAGTGCAGTGGTCATCTCGGAGGAGTTTTACAAAGTTGTTGTTATGCCAACGCAGATCAGAGAATCAAACACAGGAAATGCAACGATAAAAAACGTATAAACATCATAACCCTGACCCTCCTGCAACGGCAAAAAATAACTAAAAAAACTCAGTGGGGGAAAAAAAGTGAATAACTTTGGGGAGGTCCACAACATTTAACCATGCTACGACATTGTTCCCATATCAATAAAAGATCTGGAGTTGTTTTTTACCTCCATCCTCGTTTATATCAGTCACTTCTGGCACAAATCCATCTCTCCACCCCTTCTGTCTAAATGCTCCTGTTTCAAACCTCTCACATGATGACGAATCCTCACATTGTTATGATCTAAAGCCTTTTTCAGCCTTTTTCAATTTATTTTTGTAAGAAAAAAATATTGCCTCTAAATTTAGGTGAAATTACTAGTTATTAGTAAGTATTATTTATTTATATAGAATTCACAGACAGGGTCACAAAGCACTTTACAATTGTTTTAGATTTTTTTCCTCTCACTGCGCGCATGGTGATTGAAGCAGAGTTGCCGCACAGAAGGCGCATGCTGGATCTATGCTAGACCTATTGTCCTTGTTTTGAGTGGTAGGGGAAACCGGAGCACCAGGAGGAAACCCGGGGAGGACATCCAAACCATCTTTTAGCTGTGTGTGCTGCACGCGAGTTTGATATAGAAAAAAAACGCATAAATATATCATCTGGTGGTGAAGTAGGGAATTGCATGTAGAAACCATTTTAAAAATCGATTATACATGTTGAGAACTTTTTGAAGAAGAGTACTGGTTAGACCCTGCCCACGCTCACCTCCGCAGCTTCCTGATTGGTCAAAAATATTTAAAATCCTGAAGGCCTTCTCAAGCAAATCTTAGCTTGTAGTTATGCCAAGGGGAGGGACTAATTTAAATATATTATTGTTGGAAAATACTTAGTATATATAATAATACAGTGTCCCATGGTCAAAAATATACATCCATCCATCCATCCATCTTCTTCCCTTTAATCCATTTCTGGGTCAGGGGGGTGGCAGTCAGAGATGCCACCCAAGTCTCATAGCACCAGCCCCTCACTGACCCTCTGCAGGTGGTGAGTCCACAGGAGGACGGCTGCTCTCTGAGTGTGAGCATAGCCTTGATCTTTCAGTGGGGGCTTTGGGCAAAGTGGGGTTAAGTGTCTTGCCCAAGGACACAACGACAGCAGTCATCAGTGGGAGTCGGTGGAGAAGGTGCAGAGGTGGGAATTGAACCCACGACCTTCTGGGCTTAAGGCCAATGCTCTACCAACTGAGCTACTGTCGCCCCCAAAAATATACAGTATTTACAAATTATATACAGTTTAAGTTGTTGACGATGCCTGGTTACGCTGTAGGATACAAGTGTGGGAAAAGTTGAATTTACGAATCAATACGTTTATCGCAATAATTCACCATTTTGGAGAGCACTAACGAAACTTTGGAACCTGAAAAGACATTGAAATTACTCTTAACCCTTGTGCTATCTTGGGCCAACTTGCCCCACTGCAATGATTAACAAATATCCTAAAAGAAAATTCAATATAGATTATGATGATTTTTCCCTCCAGCTCTGGATCATTTAGAAGCTTTTAGACCCTAATTTAGGATATTTGGGATACATTTTCTTCTACTTTTGTGTTATTAATGCAAATGGACAGTTTTGTTTTAGTAGATAAGGAATTTCAATGAGATTATGTGACTAAAACACATAGTTTGGTTAACTGTTCATATTTTGTTTGAACAGAATCCAATCATTAGAATAAATTGCCAAACTAATCGCCATGTCTGTTTTGAAAAATCACATGTTTTTTTGTTGTTGCCAAAATCGTGCAGCCCTGTGTTCTAAACAAAAGACTTAGAGATGAGAGACGAGGACTCACTCTGCCTGTTCTTCCACCACCATCATCAGTATTATTAACTAAGTTTCATTAATGTTTGTAAATTGTAACTTGAATGTGGATGTGTCAAATCTTCACTTAACGCATCAGCACAGTGTTCATGAAGCATTATGACTGTATATTTTTTAGAACTTGTTTATTTTCATAATAAATTATTTTGATGTCAGAGATGCATTGAAATGTTGAAAAGAAATGTTGTTTACCTTGAGACGACTCTTTATAAAAAAATGTTTATTGATAAAAGATGATTAAAGAGTGTGAATGTAAATGATTTGTTGATTATTTCTGGCCGGAAAAGGCAGCATTGACTGATGCAGGGAATTTATAACGAGCTATGGCGCCCTCTTGTGGAGGAACAGTGACCAGACTAGAGCATGATGTTTACACGGGCTTCTTTTAAATTGTTTTACAATTCAAAATCCTTAACACTAGGACTCCCAAAGCCGTCATATACGTTTTTGTTAACCTTTCCATAAGTACTAAACCTGGTCCTTATAATTGCAAATGAAATACAGCAAAAAGCTAACGGCTAACTTCTGTCGGTGTTGCTATGGTAACTAGCACCTGATATTCTCCCTTGGAAAACTAGTTAAATTTAGAACCACTCGCATTTCAAAAGTGAATTATAATTTCATTTAAAAAAAAAAATTTTGACAGAAATAAACTACATTAAAAAAACAGAACTCACAAATTTATGAAGACCACAAATCTGGCCCGGACTGGCCATCGGGAGCATCGGGAGATCTCCCGGTGGCCTGCGTGTCAAAGTGGCCTGGGCGGCTGGGCCTGCCCTATCATCACGGTCTTTTTTTATTTTTTTAATTTAATTTCATCCTCACGGTCTTTGCAAACTCCTACCCTGCCTGGTGGCCTGGTCCAATGAGCAAGGCCCAGGCCAAAGCCAATGTTGTGCGTGAACGAGTTCAAAAGAGCGCGTTCATTGAACACGCTCATTTTTTCGTGAACGTTGAACTGAACGCAACACATTTTTTAATAAAGAACTTGAACGTGAATAAGTTCATATTATGTGTCATGAACGGCAGACAATTTGTTTTCCATTTAAAACTGAGTGAAATATGTTTTCTCTTTTGAAACGCAACGAGAGAAAGTTCCTCCCTCCTGTATTCTCCGCCGAAAACTAAAAATTCCTACGGTTTCCACCGTCTGTGAACGCACCCCGACTCAGTGTACTTGCGGTACGGCGCTATACATAGTTCCCACATGACGTCACTACATACGGGGATTTGCCGACCCGGCGCCATTTGTCTTGGCATTCTGTGGGCAAAACAATAGAAAAAGAAGCTGAAACGTGTTAATGTCGTGATAAAGTTGAAAATGGTCATCTCCTGCTGGGTCAATGGATGTTCAAATCGTGCCGGAGGTTCCGTTAAACTTGGATTTTACAGTATACCCATCATTAGACTTCATGAATGTGAGAAGACTAAGCTTTTGTCAGAACAACGACGGCTTGCGAAGATAAACAGGCAAGAAACTCCCTCAAAACACGCAAGAATATGCTCGGAGCACTTTGTGTCAGGTGCGTATCGTATCTCATAATGTGTTGACAGACGTAATTTACTCAGTACTAACTTGTGTATGCTGATATCTGGTAACTTGAGAGTTTCATTATTTAGCGTTAGATTACTTTATTATGAGGAGGATCGGTGTCGCGTCCGAGGCTCTCGAGGGCAACGTAAATGTATTAAATAGATAATAATAGTTCTATGGTGGGCTAAAGCAATGTTCACAAACAGCATTGCTTCTGTAAAAAGATCTGTGTCATAAAATAAACTGCTCTTTACGCCTGGAAAAATCAGTTGCCCACCATTCACCAAAACATACGGTCAAAAACGCGGAAATAAACAATAACAGCAATCCAGAGTGTCCGTGTGGCATTAGCATTAATTAAATTAATTGTTAATATAATTAAAATAATTAAATGGAGCTCCAACTGGTATTAAATCTAAAGTTTTTGAGAAATGTTTGCATTGCTTGTTAATTTTTGCTGCATAATTTGATCAAATATGTAAAACATGTCCGTAGCACGTTAAACTGTGGTGCCATTGTATTAATATACAATTATTTGCTCAAAAGTTGCCCTTTTTTTCCAATTTGCGTTTGAATATCTACATTTATTCTCATTCTTCTGTTTAATGGAATGCACAAACACAGCAGCGTGCCATCAAAGATGGCGTCTCCGAGGAGGTCATGTGACATTCATTGGTCTGTGGGAACTATGTATATGCTAGTGCTATTCATTGGTTGTTGGACTCACATGTGCCGTGATGAAAACACAGGGGTAAGTCAGTGACACAGGGCCGTTTACATTTGACATAAAGTATAGACACACGTTCTGCAGCGCATTACAGTTTCTACTTATGAGCAGAGATGGGGCAACTCAGTTCCCATTGAAACCCATGTAAATCTTGTCTGCATTGGAGTCAAAACATCCTGTGCAGTGTACAGGATATAATATATATATATATATATATATATATATATATACCACGTATTGTGATTTCTAGCTCGTAGTGAAAAAAAATATTTATTTGAATATCTCGCAAAAAGTAAAATGAACTGAACTTTGAACTAGTTCAGAATTAAAATTGAGAACTTCGAACGTGAACTGTTCACTTTGAGCATGTATAAACTGAACTTGAACTAGTTCAGAAAAGCTGTGAACTGGCACAACACTGGCCAAAGCTTTACTGTCATTGGGCCATAGCAAAATTAAACAAATGTGACGTCACACGTCGGCTACACAGCCAGGCCAGCCTAGCAGTGCACCCAGTGTAGCTTCCCCGGTTGAAATGAGTGGTCTCTCCAACTGATGGTTCATACACGTTTTTATTTTTCCTTTTATATGAGATGTAACGATGTGATTTTACCTTACTACTTTTTTAACAATAATTGATTAGCTTGTTATAGTTATACACTAATGAACACTTAGTTCATTGTGTGTGTGTGTGTGTGTGTGTGTGTGTGTGTGTGTGTGTCTTTATTCTCACTAAACTCCATAAACGTTACGTTGCTAAGCAACGTACAACAATCCTTAAACGTCCGAGATTATATAAACAGTCAATATAAAAAAAAATAAAGAAAACAAAAGTTTTGACAGTCAATCTTAAAACTATTAAAAGAACATCAAAATACAGTGACAAAAACCCAAATTTAGAACCTTGTTTGGCCTGAATGGATGAAAAGCTCCCGGCCTGAAATGTTGTCCCACTCCGGCCCTGCCACAAATGTACACGAGATGAGTGATCACACTTCCAAAAGCCGTCAAATTGACTGCTCTGGGATTTCTATTGTTCATTTCGAGTTACATATTTACAATAATATGTTTAAAACCAACCTCAAACCCAGGGTGTCCAAACTTTCTTCATTGATCCACTTTGGCCAGAGATGTTCAGCTGGTTGTTCTTGATCAGATAACATTATGCATATTTTTTAATAACTTTTTGCCATTACTATTAAACTTACCCAGAATTAAACTTTCTACTAACCAGGCGATCCAGGATGAGCCAGAATTAGAGCAATAAAGATGTTTTTTTTTTCTCCAAGTGCAAGTTGACTACACAAATTCAATACTGTCAATACTTTCACATAGTTTCTTTCATAACGAATTTTTAAGAATAATATCACTGATAATAAAGTACAGTACCAGCCTTTCTAAATTGGCCGTAATAAAGAAGGACATTTCTGGCAACTTTCACAGGATGTTTTAGAGTCCCTGAGCCATAGATTGGACACCTCTAATGCATTCATACACACATGTCCATTCTTATCTCATTCCTAACAATGTTCTCTGCTTGCGTCGCCATGGTGATTCGGTGGTGGCGTTTGCGTGGGCTCTGGTCCCTGTTTGAGTGACTGAGGGGAGGAGGTCACGGCTGAGGGGAGGTGTGGGGGGATCCAGGCCGCTCTGCTGCTGGGGACTGACTGGTCGACCGCGTTGGGAGCAGCGTCCGAGCTCCAGCTAAACATGTGACGGAAGCATCTGGAAAACTGGAACACAAGGCCAGTTTGGTTATTGATATTTATAGTTAGTTTCTTATATTATTAGATTTAAGTATTTTTGTACAGTCCAAAATCACATTGGTGGTCGGAGAGTGATTGGGCCAGTGTGTGTGTGTGTGTGTATGTTTGTGTGTGTCTTTATGTCCAGTCTGAATGAGTGTGGAGTGTAAGGGGGTTGGAAATACACAAGCGTTTGCTATAGCCAACCCCCTTTCAAACCTTGTGTATTTATGCTGGTTTTTAGAATAAACATATAAATGAAAAAAAATGAAATGGCATTTTGAGATGTACATTTGGCTCTTTTTATTATTATTTTCATTATTATTATTATTCTTTAATGTTATGTTCAAGATAGAGATTTGTTTTACTTGTTCTTTGATGCTAGAGTTAGAGATTTTGTTTTATTATAATTAGTATAGCTATTGTTCACTTACTGTTCTATAACTTGTGACACTGAAAATTCCCCGCTGTGGGACGAATAAAGAATCTTAATCAACAAAAGTAGTCTAAAAAAATAATACATAAATGATAATTGACAGTTTATTTCTTTTATTTTTTACCTAGCTTGTCTTTGGTCTTCCCAGAGGTTTCTATTCTGCTGTTAAAGGGTGCCTTGAGCTGGCGTTTCTCAATGATCAGCAGCTCTACTCCAAGCTCCTCCCATGGGATATTTAATGACGCATTCTACCGCATCTCGTGTTTTCGGCCTATACTCAAAGCATGTACAGTAAGGAGGCGAGGGTGGGAATGTGGATTGACAAGTAAATCGAGAGCTTTGCCTGCAGACGCTGCTCCTTCTTCGCCACAACAGCCCGACATCCTTCACTCACTGAACAAGAACTAAGATACACTGCAAAAAATGCTATAGAATTACATTACATTTATCCTACTCTTAAAATGTCCATTGGCAAATCTTGTTTTAAGACCATTTAAAATGTATTTGAATCAGGAAAACAAACTACTGATTTCCAACCAAGTTTTTCAGTGTAACTCTCTCCTGTCGAGGGTATTCCACTGGAAGATAATTGTCAAGTTTGTCGGCTCAAATACACAAACATGTTCATGATAGTAAAAGTATAGATTATTTTTATATAGTGATGTGAATAACAAGAGTGAATAAAGTATAACCACCATAATCATTTTTATAACCAGTAATCATATGTACTAACAATTATATTAATCAGTAAGTATCTCCATAAAGTGTTCTTATATGATCAGTAAGTGTCTGCATAAAAGGCCTTTGTTTAATGTGTTAGTGAGGTCAGTAAGAATTCAAGGACAGGCTGGTCTCTGTGCAAAAGTAACCTTTGCAGGAACGGTCTGCTTCGCATGAGACAAAAATACAGACCAGGCCAGACTTGGGGACTGAGGTGACAAGGAGCCCAGATGTCGTCTTCGAGGGACGATTCCTCATCTTCAGCACATTTATAAAACTGTTTAAACTAGAAATTGTAGACTAGTCTGGACAAGGGACCAGACTAGTGTACAGAGCGCCTGACTTTACACTTGTTTGTAGATTTTGACAGGGAGAGGTAATTTTAAGTCCAGACCGCTGTTTAGACTCCATTGTATTAGGGAATAAACTTTTTTTCTGGATTTAACTCTTTGAATACTGGTCATCTTTAATCATATCATTTTTTACATTAATATATAATATTTTTTTTACTTGTCTTGGTAATTATTTTGGCAGTGCAATCAATGAATTCAAGGTTTTGCGCATTATAGATCCATGGTTTTGCGGTGCTAGTCTTGCATGTGGACTAAAGGGCGTCAGAGCCTTTCTCAGATCTGTAATCTGTTTATTGTTTGTGCCTATCCTGTCTTTTTTAATGTTGTTTACTGTATAGAGTTGTGCTATACTAGATATTCATTTATCTTGTGTTGTGTGCTCCTCTTTCCTACTGTTTCCTACTGTATCTTGTGATGCAACACAAACATTTCCCCACTGTGGGACAAATAAAGTATCTCTTAATCTTAATATAAACCTTTAATGGTTTCCGCAACCCACTGGTGGATCACTTTTTGAGTCACTATGTCTAGTTGGAGCTTAGAACTGAAATCTACCTCATTTGGTCATCTTTATCACTAGGTTTTAGGCACTTTTACCATCAAACTGCATCACAAACGTAAACGTTAAAAGTAAAATAAAATAACATAACAATTATTACTATTATTTGTGTAATTGGTGCTCCCACATCTCTCAAAAAGGAGTTAACATTAAAGGTTTACTAGTGAACATTTGTGTCTGATACAAAGCTTAATATATGCAGAAATAATCAAATACTGTGCTAAAAACAAGACACTAAAGTTGGGCTGTGACATCACCTTGTAAATAACACATCCATTCCTACAGACGCACCTGTTTATTGAGCAGCACGTAAATGACCGGGTTGAGTGCAGTACTGCTTTTGGCCAGCAGGGAGGGCACGAGACTGGCCACCGGAGGCACCGTTCCGGGACGCCCAAACGAGGACAGCAGCGCCACCACCCCGTAGGGCATCCAGCAGACCAGGTACCCCGTCACCATGGAGGCCACCATCAGCAGCACGCGGCCCTCCCTCCGCTCTGCAGACAGCTGGTTTAACCGGGGCACCTGCATGTAAGGAACACAACACAGAGAGTTATACAATACAATGGTAGACAATCATTATTTGTGTATTCATGTATTTGTGCATTTCAATCTGGAGAGACCAAGACAGACACGTTAATGCATTTAGAAAGATTTACTGTTTGGCGCATTGACCCTGGCATTGACACTTGCAGAGGGGAGATCACTGTTGCTGAGATGATCTCAGGTCCCCCGGGGTCAAGCACTGGTGGTGGCTAGAAACATGGTGTGAATGGGGCGTAGGCGGAGCAGGAGCCAGAGCAGGAGCTCGAGGAGGTGCTGGGGAGGCGGTGGGTGTCATGAGCTTCAGGAAGGTCTGGTTAGTAGGAAGTGGCTGCTTTTAAACTGCCGGCTTTGCTGTCAGTGGTTGGCAGGGGGGCTGGCCGAGCTGTGCGATTGGCTGAGACTCGAGGCTGGTCGAGCTGTGCGATTGGCTGAGACTCGAGGCTGGCCGAGCTGTGCGATTGGCTGAGACTCGAGGCTGGCAGAGCTGTGTGATTGGCTGAGGCCTGAGGCTGGTCGAGCTGTGTGAGGTGAGAACTGCGGCCTGCAGGTCTTCCCAGTCTGAATTTGCGCTCAAGGTTCTTTGTGTTTTTGTGCAATTGTGCATTCATGTATTTGTGTATATGAGCGCTTGAGATGGTTACAAAGAAAATCACCATAGTCCACAAGATTTAAATAAACTAATCTTAGCTATTAAATCTGTCTTTGTGATGTCCCTCCTCTTGATCTTACTATATTCACAATGTGTTATTTGTGATTATATGGTGGCTGTTTCTAAATGTTTACTTGCTGCAAAAAAATGTCCCCTATAGTGGAACAATGAAGAGAACTTTGACGTTTCTTGCTTTTACAGATAGGACGAGAAAAAAAAAATACAGAGAAAATGTGATACTGCCCTGGGAATAACACATGTTTGCCTGTCAATTGGGAAATCCTGTTTTTAAAACAGTAAAAATGTATATCTATTAAAAAAATATAATGGGTTTTTTGATGGGTTTTTTAATCGCCATGGCAGCTGTCCTCTCCTCCTTCTAGAACAGTTGCTTCTTTATGGAATGGACATTATTTTCTGTGTTTTGAGAAACTGACCGATAAGAGTTGTTGTGGAAATAAAGTGAAGGTTGAGCTGTGTCTACATCGTACAGAAACGGAACAGAGATGTGAGAGTTTAGATCATAGACTGTATACAGATGGATAATGCTAACCTGCTAGCTCAATGAAGCCCAATAGGGAAGTGCTCATGGATGAAGTTTTTGCTCCAACTCGCTCCGGCTCTTCTTGACTTACATAGAAAAGTAAACTCCTCTAGCTCAGTGACCGTTTGTGTCACACTCACCATTTTAGGCTTAAAAAATATGTGATACAACATTATTTTCAAGTAAATAAAGTTTAAACTATAACACGATATGGTGATAATCTCTGACACCTGTGGCTCATCATTATCAATTAAAAACATGTGCAATTTGAATATGGATAAAAAATAAACAATCGTCCCACCAATTTGCTCAAAAACTGGTCCGAACCAAGCGGCTGCTCCACCTTGTGACCCGTCCTGCTCCACCCAGGGGCTACTCCACCTCTGCTGCTGTGACCCGTCCTGCTCCACCTAGAGGCTACTCCACCTCTGCTGCTGTGACCCGTCCTGCTCCACCTAGAGGCTACTCCACCTCTGCTGCTGTGACCTGAAGGGCTGTTGCTGATTATTACTATTGTTAGCTTTTTAGAATAATCTACTTTATTTTTCATTTTTGCTGCTACTGGACACCTGAATTTCTCCTACGGGATCAATAAAGTATCTGTCTATCTATCTATCTATTCATCTGTGTCCCCTTTAATGAGTAAAGGTTGTGAGTTCCCTGGTACCTGTTTGGTGACGGTGCGCACGGCCAGGATGATCCTCCCGTAGCAGTAGACCATGAGCAGCAGCGGCAGCAGCAGACAGAACAGGAACAGACAACTCACATAAGAGCGCGCCGCGACCGACTGCCTGTGCCACTGCACCGAGCACGTGGTCCCGGGACCCTCCGGACCGTAGCTACACACAGAGACCACAGCATTAGTCCAGGGCTGCATCCCAAACCAGAGCAACAGAGGTGATGATCCAGGACACTCAACATTCAACAACATTTACGGACATTTGTCATCTGCTCCTTGTCAATCAATCAGTTTTATTGATAGAGCCCTTTACAACACTCAAGGCGACCAAAGGGCTTCACGATAAAATCACATCAAATCCATCAAAACATGTATGCAATAAAACAGTTTAAAAAGCATTAAAAAAGTGTATACTGGACTAATGCCGATGTGTTTCTTGTGTTTGGACAGTTTGATTCTCTGATCTGTGTTGGCAAATTCAACAATTTTGTGAAGTCCTCCGAGAAGAACTATGGAGGACTATGACGGACTATGGAGGACTATGAAGGACTATGGAGGACTATGGAGGACTATGAAGGACTATGGAGGACTATGAAGGACTAAGGAGGACTAAGGAGGACTATGGAGGACTATGAAGGACTATGAAGGACTAAGTGGACTATGAAGGACTAAGGTGGACTATGAAGGACTAAGGAGGACTATGGAGGATAATGAAGGACTATGGAGGACTATGGAGGACTATGAAGGACTAAGGAGGACTAAGGAGGACTATGAAGGACTATGGAGGACTATGAAGGACTAAGGAGGACTATGGAGGACTAAGGAGGACTATGGAGGACTATGAAGGACTAAGTGGACTATGAAGGACTAAGGTGGACTATGAAGGACTATGGAGGATAATGAAGGACTATGGAGGACTATGAAGGACTATGGAGGACTATGAAGGACTAAGGAGGACTATGAAGGACTAAGGAGGACTATGAAGGACTATGGAGGACTATGAAGGACCATGAAGGACTAAGGAGGACTATGAAGGACTAAGGAGGACTAAGAAGGACTATGGAGGACTATGACGGACTATGGAGGACTAAGAAGGACTATGGAGGACTATGACGGACTATGGAGGACTAAGAAGGACTATGGAGGACTATGACGGACTATGGAGGACTAAGAAGGACTATGGAGGACTATGAAGGACTATGGAGGACTATGAAGGACTAAGGAGGACTAAGGAGGACTATGGAGGACTATGAAGGACTATGAAGGACTAAGTGGACTATGAAGGACTAAGTGGACTATGAAGGACTAAGTGGACTATGAAGGACTAAGTGGACTATGAAGGACTAAGGTGGACTATGAAGGACTAAGGAGGACTATGGAGGATAATGAAGGACTATGGAGGACTATGAAGGACTATGGAGGACTATGAAGGACTAAGGAGGACTATGAAGGACTATGGAGGACTATGAAGGACCATGAAGGACTAAGGAGGACTATGAAGGACTAAGGAGGACTATGAAGGACTATGTAGGACTAAGGAGGACTATGGAGGACTATGAAGGACTATGGAGGATTATGAAGGACTATGGAGGATTATGAAGGACCATGAAGGACTAAGGAGGACTATGAAGGACTATGTAGGACTAAGGAGGACTATGGAGGACTATGAAGGACTATGGAGGACTATGAAGGACTATGGAGGATTATGAAGGACCATGAAGGACTAAGGAGGACTATGAAGGACTATGGAGGACTATGGAGGACTATGAAGGACTATGGAGGACTATGAAGGACTATGGAGGACTATGAAGGACCATGAAGGACTAAAGAGGACTTTGAAGGACTAAGGAGGACTATGAAGGACTAAGGAGGACTATGGAGGACTATGACAGACTATGGAGGACTATAAAGGAAAGACTATGAAGGACTACGGAGGACTATGGAGGACTATGAAGGACTATGGAGGACTATGAAGGACTAAGGAGGACTATGAAGGACTATGAAGGACTAAGGAGGACTATGGAGGACTATGAAGGACTATGACGGACTAAGGTGGACTATGAAGGACTAAGGTGGACTATGAAGGACTATGGAGGACTATGGAGGACTATGAAGGACTAAGGAGGACTATGAAGGACTAAGGAGGACTATGGAGGACTATGAAGGACTATGGAGGACTATGAAGGACCATGAAGGACTAAGGAGGACTATGAAGGAGGACTATGAAGGACTAAGGAGGACTATGGAGGACTATGAAGGACTAAGGAGAACTATGAAGGACTATGAAGGACTAAGGAGGACTATGGAGGACTATGAAGGACTATGGAGGATTATGAAGCACCATGAAGGACTATGAAGGACTATGGAGGACTATGAAGGAGCATGAAGGACTAAGGAGGACTATGAAGGACTATGAAGGACTATGGAGGACTATGAAGGACTAAGGAGGACTATGAAGGACTATGAAGGACTAAGGAGGACTATGGAGGACTATGAAGGACTATGGAGGATTATGAAGGACCATGAAGGACAAAGGAGGACTATGAAGGACTATTAAGGACTAAGGAGGACTAAGGAGGACTATGAAGGACTATGGAGGACTATGAAGGACTATGAAGGACTATGAAGGACTATGAAGGACAAGGCTTGTTTTATGAATTTGGATGCTGTAAGTACATAAGTATAAAAGTGTGGCTGACCTGCTCCATCCCAGCAGCGGGGGCAGAGTCCAGGCCAGAGAGTAGATCCAGGAGACCACCACGGCCACACGAGCCCGCCCAAACTGAGAGGCGTCCGAGGGCACCGTGTGGAGCACCGCAGAGTAACGCTCCCAGGACAGAAGGGACAGAGACACCAGAGACACGATACCTGAGAGACAAGAGCAGGGTCGGTCTGAGAGAACTGTGAGGGTCAGGTGTTGACTTAAATCTACATTAAAGCTGAGGGACCAAACATCTAAACCACAAATCTATGTGGGAAAATGTGTACTATCCTGGTGCACACTGGGGTGGTCTTGCACAGTTATTCCAACATTGTTTTACTGAAAAGGGCAAAAAAAAATGGAAACTGAATCTGGTATAAATAGTTTCTAGCTCTCAAAACAGTCTTGTTCTAACCAGAGATTTTCACTAGGATATATTGAGCTTTTTCATTTCTTTAATATAACTTTCCCAGGCAGAAAAGTTTAAAAGATAGGACCGTTCAGCCAATCAGCTCTCAGCCCAAAGCATCAAACACTAACCTATATTAGGCAAAGCAAGTTTATTTGTATAGCACAGGTCATACACATAGCAACTCAACAGTATAGAAACACAAGGCCTTCAAATCATAAACACACATAATACACACATATAGATAGATTGAACCTTTTGAGTTGCCGATCCCTGGTATAAACAAACTGTAAAAAAGTGACAAAAACATGCCTGGGCCGGTAAGAAGGAAAAAATGCCCGGGCCGTTTTTTTGTCCCAGTCCAGCCCTGCATATACACACACATACACACACACATACACACACAGACAGACACACATACACACACACACACACACACACACACATATTAATAAAAATAATATATATACTGATACTGACCGAAGAGCGCGTTAGTGAAGCCATACCAGCGGCAGCCGTGGCTCCCCGTCAGCCACCGGCCCCTGACGCTGGCGGCGAAGCTCATGGGGGTCCCGCACACGCACACCAGCAGGTCACTCACGCTGATGTTGACCAGCAGCAGGTTCACGGGGGTCCGCAGCACCGGGTACCGCGAAAACACCAGCAGAGACACGAAGTTCCCCACAAACCCCAACACGAAGATCACCCCCAGTGCCACGGCCACAGTGGTGTGTCCCCCCCGGGAGAGAGCCGAGGGGTCGCAGAGCGCGCTCTGGTTGGACTGGAGCATCAGAGCAGAGACATGTCCCACCAGAGTCACATCCAGAGAAAGCAGAGTGGAGCTACAGCAGTCTTCAGCAGAATCAAAGCGACAGCAGCAGTGCGCTTTCTTAAGTTTGTCTCTAAAGGCGCAGTTAGTGAGGCGCCCCGCGGGGAGGTGGGCGAGGGGCGGGGCCAGGGCCACAGACCATTACCACACACACAAGTTCAACGATGATCAGACTTTCACTTTTAACTGTGCTGTTTGTGAGGGATAGGAAACATCTACTGGTTTGTCTATAATAAATTGGCCAGTGTTTTTCAACCAGTGGGCCGTGGTACGTCGGTGTGCCGAGATATGTTGTTTGGTGTGAATACAATATCACCTGCAGGTTAAACAAAAATGTGAAAAGAAAATACTATATGAGAAGATTAGAAACTGAGACTGTCTTGTTCTAGATGGATTTTCAATTTATTACACATTGATAAGAATGATTTATTTTGTTAAGAGAAGATTAGAAAGACCGTTTTGTTTTTTATTGATTTTCTTTTTAATACACATTGATGAGAATGATTTACTTTGTTAATAAAGGTTTTGTATCAGGTAATCTCCAATGTAATATCTGTACCACGGCTCTCAAAGCTCAAGGAACTAGGCTACTTGAGTATACTTTTAAATTACTCATACGTTGATGCATTGTTAGAATTCACATGTGTTTTGGCAGAAAGTTGACTATCAGCTCTCAACAAAAAAGTGTACCCAAACCCAAATGTTGGCTCACAGGGCTCTTTCTCACATGTATGCCAAATGCGTTTTCTATTACGATAAAGAAGGCAGAAAATGGTCTGATTTCTTCACAACGTGTTACTTTTACAAGAAAGGTTGGGACAAATTCCAACTTATGTTATTGAAATAATCACAGGTATAACCCTATATGTTAAAATGATCTGTAGAGGAAGTGTGTGTGGATAGGGAAGTCTGGGCGTCTCTGTTTAGACTGCTGCCCCCGCGACCCGGCAACGGATGAAGCGGAAGAAAAGTGATGGATAGATGAAAGCTGCAGTGGTGTATCATTTAACTTTTCAAAATAAAAGCCCACAAATATAAATAGTAAAAAAATGGAACGATAGAGTCTGTAATAAAGTTGATTTGATTGAATTGAAATATAAAACTAAACTTATTGTAAATAGTGACATGGCTTCGTATAAATATATTTAAGCAATGAAATCCACTCTTGCAATTCCTTTTGTAAGTGAGAATCTGGCTTTAGTAGGCCGCTCTGTTTATGGACATTTTTCTGTCACGGACCAGATTGTGGTCCATAAAACCGAGCCAGAGAATCAATAATGCAGGTTTTGCCTTGAGGAGCGATAACATGGGGCTATCACACAAATGCTGAAAGAGGGAAAAGATGAATAAATGTGTATTTCCACAGCAATCTGACTTTTTATGTAATATAATTTGTATTAATGTGATTACAACCCTCCGCTTAATGTCCTGTCCTCGCGCTGGGACAAAGGGGTTTGTGGAGCTGAACGATGACCCACTTCTTTATTATGAAGTTTTCAGACGTGGTTCAAACATTGGACAAAAATTCCTCACAGCTCTTTTGTGTCGCTCTGACAGGAGGTGACGATCTCCCACTACTGAAGAGAAAACACCACCGGCCATTCACACGGGGCTTGGTGAATATATGAATGAATGAAAGAGCAGTTTTAGCAACGGATTTTTTATGATGTTATTGCTGGATGTGGGGACGACAGTGGCTCAGCTGGTATAGAGCATTGGCCTTTTAGCCTTGACACCTATTTCGGCTAATCTTCGCCTATCTCCGCCAATCTCCGCCTATCTCCACCTTTCTCCACCTCTGCCTATTTCCGCCGTTGAAACCAGTGACCAAAATGATGTGCGCTGACATGCTTGCAATACCACCTCGGGCCAATGGGGGTGGACCCGGAATAAGAATTTGCTTACCTCTTGAAAACGTCTTCACAGGATGGTCCAAAAGTTGGCTCTTAGCTCAATGCTCCGTTCCACATGTCTGTCAATGCTGAGGGGAATGAAAATGTGGAAAAATGCATTTGCGCATGCGTTAGCCAGCACAAGCCTGACACATATTAATTTAACAAGTGCATTCAAAAGTCCACGGCAGCTAAACTAGCCTGGTCCAAAAAAAAATACTCCATTCATTGACACACACTCACCACCTGGGGGGCTGGTGCTCTGTGAATTGGGAGGCAGCTAATTGCGACCCAGAAGGGGTAAAAATGGATGGATGGTGCTGTACAAAAATAAACCGCTTTGAACTGAATTGCATCCTGGTGGAAAGAAGGGGCCGTTGAGGTGGTGATGGGTAGGAGGAGGGTTGCAGCACGAGATAAGGCATAGTTTGAATAGAACCAGCTCATTGTGATGATTGCTGATGCAGGCGCAGGGAGCAGTGAGAGGAAGACTAGAGGGAGCAGCTTGGATCCTCTATACAGAGCTCCAGTTGGAATATTCTCTTCAGCTTTGTTGTTGCAGTTATTGTTTTTAAGATTCACTGATAAAAATAAACCATTGGAGTAGAAACATGCAGATCTAATTATGGATTGTTCTGGTGGTCTTGATTTTAATTCTCTTGAACTTCAAGCAAAAGAATGATGACTGTTAATCTGATTTGTGCGAATGTAGATGTAAAAGTCCTTCTCCTGTGCGTTGCATCAATTGTACTTGTTATTTTTACTCTACTCTGTGGCGCGCCAGATTTTACAACTTGAAAAAGTGAAGCTGCATGAAGCTTTCGTATCCTGCAAAGCCAAGAGGGCTAGATCTGTTCCTAAAATCAAATCAAATCAAAATTGTTCATCGTCTCATTCCAGAGATTTATGTAATTAAAATCCAGCCGCTACCTTTTGAGTTATGATGCTAACTTACAAACAGACAGACAAACACACCCTTGTGAAAACACAACCCCCTGGCAGAGGTGAAAATAGTTTCTTGCTCAAATAAATTATTTGGTACATGTTATAATGCAGACTGTTACAGATCTGCTTTTTCTTACAGAAAGTAAAGTAAAACGAAGTTACTCTAACAGCTAAAATAGTAAAATATGTCATGTAAAATGGTGACTCACGAGGGTCATTCTTACAACTATGCAAAATAAAATAACATTTAGACAAAGACAGCATGGAGTTATTTGATTATTTTCTCACCTTGAGAAATTGAAGAATATAATGTGTTATTTTTGGGCATTAATAATGATACCGAAAATATTTACTTGGTCACTTCATGTTTTAGAATGTGAAATAATATAAGTTAAGTAGAACATATGACAAAACAAGTATGAAGGGTAAAAAAATGCTTCCCACCAGAAACTCCCCATGCCACCACCAGAGGGAGGAGTCGAAATTGTTTTTTTCCCAAAATTTGAAAATCACCATCTACAAACACATCCATGCGATTGTAACAAATGCAATTTCACTTGAAAAATTGCGAAAACTATTTTATGGGCAATACTTTTGTTATGAAGGACAGAAAACTGCTCACAGTGTGATGTCTTAGTGGTACAAGTGACATAACACAGACAAAAACTTAATGGTGAACTGGAGTCCACTGAATCTAGTTGCCCAGAGCCGCGGATGATTGGCAGTTGGCAAGGGCGGGTCCTTCAGGTGAGTGCGCACTGATTGGAGGACTGCCTCAGCTGCTGCCCAATCAGCACCCAGGCATCGTAGTCGATCAGCTCCGGGTGCGGAACGACTGGCCAATAGGAGCCCAGGACTCACGAGCGTGGTCTTCTGTAAAGGGAGGAAACACAAACACAAGGAGACACCACGGGAGAAACTAAAGTGATCCCCAAAATAGGGACTTATGGGCCGTGGGCCGTAACAGCACAACTCACCCATTTATTTTCCACTGTGGCATGAAAAGCGCATTTCTCACCTTCAACATCTCTTTGAAAACCATACATTCATAACATTCAACACACTCATTCAGAAGTACGGGATTGGGAGAGAACAATAGATAGTTTTCCACTGACGTCACCCACAATTCCGCAGTTCGCAATTTTGGGAGTCTATAGTTGTAGCTAACCAAATCGGGCCAAATCACTTTTTTTCTAAAACATGCCAACTGCCTGCATTGTTTGGAGGTGCAGTAACCGCGTAGATTGTGGGGACATTCTGAAGGCTATTACGAGCCAGGGGAGTGACTCGGGACGGAGAAAAGTCTCCTTAGTTGGCGAGGATCAACCAGAGGAAGTCAACCCTAACCCCCGAAAAACGGCACTATAAGGTCTGTTCTGACCATTTCATAACAGGTAAGAGATAGCTAAATCTGTGCATGAGTGGTTTATATTCAGCGCTGCGATTTGACTGTGATACTAAGTCTATATATGCGCCTCGAGGCTCCCATCTAAATGAATGAGAGGCAGAGGAGGAGGAAGGGGGAGAAAAGGTGGTAGACAGAAGTGATTTGCGGCCTGTGATATCAACTGCTTTGTTCAAATTAAAATATTAATTGAAAGAAATATTGCATCATATACATCATGACGTTTTTTTTATTGTAAAACTGTTAAGTGAAAGTAAGCCATTTCTGGGAAGTCCAATGGTCTCGTCGTGTTTCATATGGATCCAAATCTCCCAATTCTCAAAGGTTTGATACACAGATTACTCCAGTGTATCAATATAAGGCGGTCAGTGTCGGCCGAATTTGTGGCTTTAGATGACATGGGTACAGATGATCCGTGACAAATTATCAGTGACAAATGATACGTGCAACATAAGCTTGACTCCCAAAATGCCGTTTGCGCAAAGCATCATGGGTAAGCACGAGATGGAAAACCATGTATACCTTCAATACCACCAACTCAAAGGCTTAATTCAAAATAAAATTAAACTATCAGGAAATGCATTACAACCCTCAACCCTTATAACAATTCTAAATATAAAAAGTTAAAAAAAGATTACCTCTAAATTATACAAGTTAATCTTGTCAATAAACCCTCAGTTAGCACTACCTACTACTAGAAAAATGGCAACAAGATGTGA